TATTCTATCAGTGCTGCAAGCGCTTGGTTTGTGGCGCCACCTTCTGGACACTCATATATTGGTAGTATGGGGTCAAAGATCATACATAACCTGTCCGCTTGTTAAGTGTGACGTCACGCGGAGGCGGCTTTCGGATCCAAGCGCTCTATTTAAATGTATGGGAAGACTCATGAAGTGGTAATTATAAACGTTTACAAAGCGATGTAATAATTACGAAAATCACGATCGCAATATATATGTCCATGCCTAATATCCGATGGCCAGAAAGTGATTAATTTTAAAAATGTTGGTAGTTGTGATACAGCAAGCCCAGAGATTGTTGTGTACACTATGACTTTATATAAAATGAACTTTAATGTGTGATATGTATTAAAAGTGATCATAAACGAATGATTTCTCAGCTCAAATGAATGGCGGCTTGGACCCGGAAACAGTACATACGTCACCAACACGTCACCACTTAACAAGCGGATATAGTATGGAAGTATGTCGTTTCGGACGCAGCCAATGACTAAATGCACTACAGAATGTTACGTTTTCACACACAAACTCCGTGTATTCTATCAGTGCTGCAGGTAGCTTGGTTTGTGGCGCCACCTTCTGGACACTCACATATTGGTAGTATGGGGTCAAAGATCATACATAACCTGTTGGCACAGCTAGATTTTTGTTATTTCTTGTTTTAAGCAATAATACGCCAAAATTAACTACATTTTTTTTTATTAAAACACGCAAAATAATCTGCTAATTGGGTAAGAAAAATTAATATCATGTCAAAGTGAAGACGCTCATTTTCCTCAGATTATTTTGCATGTTGTAACAAAAAATCTCACTTCATTTTGACTCAAGACGACATCTTTCCCTTGTCTAGAACATGCTTCTTGATGCAAGAAGTTTTAGATATTCAGAAACAAAGTCTCTAAGCAAGAAAAGCCTTTATTTTTGCAGTGTGTGATCCATTATCCCGTCTGATACATTCATAACTGGTGTTTAAAGCAGACATTCCTGAAAAAAAAGAGATAAACGGCAGACAGCTGCGAGAGATCAGCCGCTTCACACCGTCTGCAACTGAGAAGAATGCATTAACTGCACTTATCTCCTCTTCTTTAACCAACACACACAGAGACGGAGTGTGTGTGTGTGTGTGTGTGAGCATGACACAAATCATATTCTTGCCAGAAATCTGTCCTCGGAGAGTTGGCGATCGCTGGATGTTCAGCTTTTGAACGGTTACACCAGACCACACACACACCGATGTACATCGATTAAACACACTGAGGCATGACCGGGACTACAGCAGTGTGTGTGTGTGTGTGTGTGTGTGTGTGTGTGTGTGTTCCCTGCAAAATATGCTTTATTACTAAGACTTTTGTCTGGTTTTTAGTCCAAATGTCTGAAAATCCTGAAATCAAGAAGCATTTTGTAGACATGCAAAAAAAAATGTTGTGCTGTTTTACAGAGATAATGAGTCAAAATGAAGAGAGTTTTCACTAAAAACACAGTAAATAATCTGCCAATGGGGGAAGCAAAGTATTATGTCAAAAGGAAAAAACTAGAAAAAACTCCTCTAGTGGAGACAATTACACACTGTGCACCTTTAAATGTGGCAATTGATCCAGAAATTCGAATAGTTCCCTTATTTTTTATAAAATAAATAAATACACCTTTGTTAGTCGTGAACTCGCGCCCTCTGCTGGAGAAAATGACACACTGCGCATTAAAATGTGGCATTGATGATGTAGTGCAGCTTCCAGTGTGAACAGACGCTCAGAAACATGATCTCAACAACAGTCTTTTAATGCGCAGATGTAGTAATAACAAACCTTTTACTTTAAAACCAAGAAAAGAGGCTGAATATAAACCGTTGGTCATCGTCCATGCATGAGAACAACACAACATCTGCTCAGTCCTTCTCTCAGGCCTAAATATTAGCTCAGTGTAACACTTAATTAAACATTTCCATCCCCCTCAATCAGCATCTTACCCTCATTTCATATATGCTAATTAATCAAAAGAAATCTCCCTTAATTTATCCAGAATCAGGTCACAGACGGCGCTCTTCCTTTCACTTCACGCTGTTATTATAAGGCTTTGGTCAGAATAGTCATTGGGAATCATTTTAAAGGGTTAAGTTCACCCAGAAATCAAGATTCTGGTCTAAATTAATCTCCCTCATGGTGTTTCTGGGAGCTTTGTTCATCTTCAGGACCCAAATGAGGATATTTTAGATGTAATCCTGGAGCTCTTCATCCTCCATAGACAGCATAGAAGTCCAGCAAGGACCAAAAACCTCCTCCAGACAGGCCACGTGTCTTCAGTGTTCAGCTGGAATCATACCAGGCTTCAACACGTTTGTGCAGCAAAACAAAACTGTAAAACTGACCGCCAATGACTTCAGAATCAGAGCAGGGCACGCATTCACTGAACTTTATATGCTGCACATTTGTTGTTGGTTTTTACAGTTTTTGAGCCACAAATATTTAGTTTTAACAGATTTTTGCTGCACATTTATTGTTTTTTCATGGCTTTTCTTAGCAAACATTTGTTTTTCAGTTATTCTGGTGCACATTTGATGTTTTTACAGTTTTTCTGCTGAACATTTGTTTTGGTGTTTTTTACATTTTTGGTTCGCAAATATTTTGTTTTTACAGATTTTCTTGTGCACATTTGCTTTTTTAATATAGTTTGACTGCCGCACATTTATTTGTACATTTTTGGGTTGCAGATATTTTGTTTTTTACAGATTTTTGTTATGGCATAACTGTTATTTCTACAGCTTTTTTATAGCTTTTCTGGTGCACATTTATTTAAAAAAAAATTGCAGCACATTTGCTGTTTTTACAGTTTTTCTGGCAAACATTTGTTTTTGTCCACTGTTTTTTTAAAACATTTTTTTGGCCTGCAAATAATTTCTTTTTACTGTTTTTTTCCTCACTTGTTTTTACAGATTTTTTTTTTTGCTGCACATTTTTGTTGTGTTTTCTTTTGCTGCATAATTGTTGTTTTACTGGGTTTTCTTGTGCACATTTGCATTTGTTGTTGTTTTTTTTTTTGCACAGTTGCTTTTTTTAATAGTTTTTCTGGTCCACATTTACTTTTAATAGTATTTGCTGCATATTTGTTTGTTGTTTTTCATTTTGTGCAGCACATTTGTTTTTACATGAATTTTTTTTTGGCCAAGATTTGTGTTTTATTTGTTATTCTGGCCCACATGCCATGTCAAACACCATGTTTGACTTTGTTTGTCAATGTTTTCTCTTTCCAATCAGGTCATGCGAGTGTGTGTTTTCATCTTTTCTAAATCTCGGGACTCTTGCTGCCTATGGAGGATGAAGAGCTCCAGGATTACGTCTAAAATATCCTCATTTGTGTCCTGTAGATGAACGAAGCTTTCCAAAGTCTGAAACAACATGAGGAAGAGTTATTATCAACAGAATCTTTATCTTGTCATGAGAGCACGAACCATTTAATCTTATTCTGGAGCATTTTGCATTGGTCACACTGCAAAAAAAAAAAAAAGAAAAAAAAAAAGAAAAGAAATATCTTTTTGTCCCATTTCTACTTTAAATACTTAAAGTTCAATCAAGAAGCATTTTCTAGACAAGGATAAAATATTGGTTTGTTTTAAGAGATAATAAGACCCAAATAAACCAGATTTTCCTTAAAACAAACAGGCAAAAATAAACTAGTATTCAGTTTAAAGTGTTTACTCACCCCATTGCTGGATTATTTTGCTTGTTTTAATGAAAAACCCACTTAATTTTGCCATATTACTTCTAAAAACAAGACAATATGTTTTACTTGTCTAGAAAACACTTCTAGAGTTCAGAATTATGAGATATCTGAACTGCAAACAACACGAAAACTCTGCTGTTGGGTCAGTCAGAATGATCATGTTATCATCAAATAATGAAAAACCAGCATTAAACTAGTAATGACAGCAGTGAGAAGCAGCTTGTTGAAGCCCAACAAACTCATCAGAAGATTCAGTGCTGAGAAACTGAAGTGCTGCTGAGTCTGTGGAGGATCCGAGACACTTCAGGAAGTCTTACAAACCCCTCATGATGAAGACGACGCCCTGCTATAATACTCCATGCGTTAAAGGGTCAGTTCACACTAAATTAAAACACCGTCATTAATTCCCTCATGCTGTTTCAGTCGCTCCGTTCATCTTCAGACACAAAGCTATTTTAGATGAAATCCTGGAGCTCTCGTCCTCCATAAACAGCAAGAGACCAGACCAAAAACATCCTCAGAACAGAGCACGTGTCTACAGTGGTTCAATCTGAGTTTCATCAAGCCATACTGATACTTGAGTGTGCTCATGAAACAAAAATAACACTCAGTTTCTTCTCCTCTTCTCCTTTTTCTAGTCCAAATATAGAAATATTTTAATTTATCCATTTATTTATGTCATATCAGCATCTTATTTTAGGGGTTTCTCACCTTTATTTGGAAAAGACAGCAGAGGTTGCAGACAGGAATGTATTGGGAGCAGAGAGAGGGGTAGGGCTGAGAGGAGTCTGGCTGCAGACCTGGTGCAGTGCAATCTGAGCTGCATCCAATGCTTTTTAATGAGCTCACCTAACCCCACCCCTAACAGTGATGTCACTAGCTCCACTTGAGTGCATTGTGTCTGACATTGCATCGCAGAGTGATGCAATCTCAGCTTGCATCATAAAGGCTACATCCAGATACTATTAGTAGGGCTGGCTAAGGACCTCGAGCCGGGAATTGAACTCGGGTCGCCGTGAGCACCATGGTGCTATATGTGGGCTATTGGCACCAACATATCAGCAACATTTTATATATGCATGGCAATTCTAGTTCCAAGATCTCAATATATATAAGCAGATTTCATCTAAAATATCCTCATGTGTGTCCTGAAGATGAACGAAGCTCTCAGGCGATTGAAATGACACTTGGATGATTAATTAACAAAGGTATTTTGATTTTTTGGGTGAACACACACGCACACACACACAAACACACACACACACTTGAACATTCCCTGATGAAAGAGATCCAGCAGTGTCTGTGTTTTTCTCCAGATGCGTCTCCTCCGCCCGTATGAGTGGAGATGACTGTGATGTGTGCGGATGAACAGGCTTCGCTCTCGGCCGTGAGAGTCTGTTTGGCACTTTTGCTGTGGTCAGAAGTGTTTCAGTGTGCGTGATGAAGATGATGATGAGGATGATTACGGTCAGAGGAGGCAGGAGAAGCTTCATAAACACTGTCCATCCTCAAACACAGAACCCTCCAGAGGATCCTCCGTCAGTCCTGGTGGCTCTTTTCCTGACTCACTTTGTACTCGTACTGCAGGGAGAAACACCGTTTCAGAGGCAGCACACGGAGAAACGGCTCATGTTAGAACAGGTGCACCACAAAAAATGAGTTTCTTAGTTTGAAAGTATCTCAACATTTTTAAGTCGAGAAGCATTTTTGGACAAGTAAAAAATATCAAGCAAAATAACCTGACAATGCATCAAAATCATTGCTTAGGGAAATTGAGAAACTAAACTAGCCGTAGTGTATGTGTGAGTGAGTGTGTATGGGTGTTTCCCAGTGACGGATTGCAGCTGGAAGGGCATCCGCTGCCTGAAACATATGCTGCATAAGTTGCCGGTTCATTCTGCTGTGGCAGAAAATTAATGAATATCTCCTATAGTCCTTGTAAACCACTAACACCAATATGTGTATGTGTGTGTGTGTGTGTGTGTGTGTGTGTGATAGTTTACCAGAGCCAGCTGTCGTCCTATATTGCCCACAGTGATGACTCCTGCGAAGAAGATACACGGCAGCCAGGAGCGAATGTAGAGGAAATCAGGAGACGTGTACCTGCGCAAACACACATTAAACACTCGCTGATGTGTGTGTGTGTGTGTGTGTGTGTGTGTGTGTGTGTGAGAGGCTTGCGTTTAGGAGTAGTGTTGGGGGTGAGGAGGAAACATACAGTCTGTACAGTAGAAACATCATTACAGCTATGAGGAGACCATAAATACTGCACAAGTGTGTGTGTGTGTGCGTGCGTGTGTGTGTGTGTGTGTGTGTGTGTGTGTGCACATGTATGTAAGTTTTAGTGTGTGTCTGTGTGTGTAAGTTAAGTGTGTGTCAAGGAGTGTGTGAGTTTGCATGTGCATGAATCCAAAAGTCCAGTACAGTCCATCCAATAATACCACCCGCAGTCTTTTCTCCTTAGTGTATTTATGGTGCATTAGTGCCCTCAGCTGGACAGATGTGTGTTTTATTTATCCTCTCCAGCAGGGGGCACCAATGCACCAAAGAAATGCAACTCAAAAGAAGTGCTGCGGCCCAATTCGCATACTTATACTACGCCCTAAAAGTATGTACTTTTTTTGTGAAGGAAAAGTTTATACTTTCGAGTGTGCAACAGACGAGTATGAGAGCTTTTGGACATACTACTACCTTGTAACAGATCGTTGTGTTGCTTGGTTATGAGCCCTATCAATCATCCACACACCATCCGCATTTCTGTCGTATTTAATTTCCCACCTTATTAAAGGAGCAGCAGCAGGTTAATCTCCCATTCACGAGCCTTTCATGCAGAAATCTCATCAGGGCTTTGGATAATTATGCATTCAGACGTTCAAACTCACCTTTATATACGTTCAGTATTGTTGTTGCAGATGAAATATAACACAGATAATGTGATTTCAATATGTTCCAGTGGACTAGATATTGACTAAGTCATTCAAACATCTTTACCGAAGCCTCTCTCTACTTGATGGTTGGTCTCGCGCGTCCATAATGTTTGTAGTTTGTTTACATTTTTTCACATGCGTTTGTAGTTCTAATCGAATTCGTGTGCAATGTATTGTGGGCAATATCAGCCATTAGAGTACGCTTCTATACTTAACTTTTTTACCAGAAATAGCAAACCATCCAGGAACCTCTGGTATTCTGTTTTCAACACTATGGTTTGGGACATACTAATTCTATTTTCAAATGCTATTTAGGACGGATAGTGTGTGGATCGGGACGCAGCAATGATGACAAATGCCTGAGGTTACATCAGAATGTTTATAAAGCTTTACATTTGGAGATTTTTCTATACAGAAATGCAGGGATTCCCTTAAAGTAGAGCATGTTTTATTATGGATAGATGCACTTTATTAGACTTCTTTTGAATTGCTGACAAAAATCAGCCGAGTGCTGCCGATGTAGAGCTGGAGCAGACCAACATCATTTTAACACAACTTCTATTGGATTCGACTGAAATAAGAACGTCACGCACACCTAGGATACCTTGAGGGGGAGTAAATCATAGGCGATCTTAATTTGTGTGTGAATCTTTTTAATCCTTTGATGCACAAGCTGTAAAATACACATAGAAGTAAATAAGCTTAGACGGGTCACTTTAGACCAGGCGTCTGTTCTACGTAGCTCGCTTAAATGATCTAAGATGATTTGGCAGATCCTGGATCTGTTCATCTTGATAACTGATCTCTCGCTAATTTGGTTCTTCAAACAAGTTCGTGAATCAGATTGAAATGTCTGCATGAACTGATCTGAGATAGCTGTGTGTGTTATGAAGGACAAATCTATCGATCCTCGAAATCATGATCAGCAATGCAATGATTGGCTGACGGCACAGCAGCATAATGACATCATCTGATTAATATTCAATTATCCATGTGAGCAAAATTACAGAAAATTCATTGGAAACTGTTTGTTAAATATTGCACGCAATAACTTTACACCTTGTTGTGGGCTGCATGCTTGGCCCTTTTATGTGTCAAGAGGAGTTTATGTAGTTTTACAGTTAGCGGATTTCCCTGATTATAGTAGCCATAGTAGTATTATAGTAGCCGTTTTTTTAAATCAGTGTAAAGAATAACTGGATGTTTACAAAAGCATTTTAATATTGGCAAAGGTGTCTGCGACTTTTATGAAGCATCAAATACCATCATTTTAACTGTCAAAACATGTTTATGACTGCATAAAAGTATTATCACTTTCAAAAAGTCACATTTTCTGCATTTCTATTATCATACACAAATTGTACTAAAGCGATCTAAAAAGTTAATATCAATAAGTTTTCTCTTTGCACCACCAGGTGGCAGTGTTTGTACTTTCATTTCGGGGGTGCAGATTGCATAAGTTTTATTAATATATATAACTTCATTTATTTTATTAATAACTATAACTTTATATAATTAAAAAAAAAATAGTATTTTCCCAAATGTATATAACTATTACTGTAAGAAAATATCAGAATTCTGCACATACTCTCTGTATTATCTTTGCTTGAACTGACCCAATCTAATCCTGTTTATATAAATTAAACCTGCTCCCGACCAGGTTTGAGCTAGCAGAACTGTTGCTATGACAACAACTCCCATGTCAAATAGTCAATAACCAAATCCAGCTAACTGAGTAATCCACGTACGAAGAACGGACCCCAGGCGTGACCAACCCTTCTCCTGGCAATCAACCTTCTTGCAGATTACAGTTCCAACCCATATCAAACACACCTGCCTGTAATTACCAAGTGCTGTTCAGGTCCTCATGAATTAATTCAGGTGTGTTTGATCAGGATTGGAGCTTTGCAGGAAGGTCGATCTCCAGCAACAGGGTTGAGCACCACTGCTTTAGATCTATGAAGTGCATCAAAGGGTTAAAAGTCCCATGAAGTGCTTTGAAATGTGCATAGTGTAGCTCCTCCCCTTTCAAAAAAAGCAGCCAATAGCGTGTTGCTTTTATAAGAGCTCCGCCAGTGAGAGTGGCTGAGCTAAAGCGCAACAAATGAACAGCCAATTAGAAGAAGGGGGCGGGGCATGTCAGAAAGATTTCAATCATGGTCTGAGGATTTGATGAGAAACTGAGGTATGAGCACACGACAAAAAATTCGTTGATTCCTTTAGGTGGGAGTGACAAACTGCAAATTTTACATGTTTATATCAGGTTTATATCTTCTACATGCGAGTTTGAGACACTAGCTCATAGATTTCCTTAAAACTACTGATGCTAACATCTAAAACACGTTATTTTATTTCATGTGACCCTCATCAGTAGCTCTCATTAGCTGAAGTGTGACAGAGACTCACTGAAAGACTCCGTTGTAGACCAGCAGCTGTGTGGCGAGCGTGGCGAGGATGGCGATGATCACTCCCAGTCCAAAACCACTGCGCGAGCGGTCAAACGTCCACCACAGGCCCACAGACAGAGCCGCTAGCGTCAGGGACAGCTGCACATTATTGGCAAAGTCCACCTTCTGTTGATGGCGGAGTTAAAGACAACACTTCACCCATCAGCAAGCTAACAATCCATCAGCACTTCACCCATCAGCACACTAATCACGCATAATCAGTTTGCAATATTGCATAATAAAATGCTTAAAGGGGTGGTCCACTATCAATACTCAGAAGAGTCAACTCTTCATTTATGCTGGGATCAGCTTTAGTGAGTAAACTGCGCTTCAGCAGTGGATCAGGATACAGCACTGGCGTGGTTGATGCCCACGAATACGGCAACGCAGCGCATCACATTGGACCACTCCCTCTTCAGCTTATGAGGCTCCCCGAGACGCCGGTCCATACAGGGGTACAGCAGACCAATCAGCGCTGGAGAAGAGAAGAAAAGAGGAGGAGCTCAGTGACACAAACACACACACACACACACACCCAAACAAAAACACATACAGACACAATTACACACACAAACACACACACACAAACAAAAACACATATAGACACAATTACACACACACACACACACACACACACAATTACACACACACCGAAACACACTAATATACAAATACACATAAACAAAAACACACACAAACAAACAAAAACATACACACTCAAACACACTCACACACAAACAAAACCACATACATAAACACACACACACACTCAAACAAAAAAGCACATACACACAAACAAAAGCACACACTCAAACACACTTACACACAAACACACGCTCAAACAAACACACACACACACAAACAAAAACACACACAGACACAATTACACACACAAACACACACAAAAAAACAATCACACAAACAAACACACACAAACAAAAACACATATAGACACAATTACAGACACAAACACACACACACACACACACACACACACACAAACAAAAACACATATAGACACAATTACACACACACACACACACACACACACAATTACACACACACCGAAACACACTAATATACAAATACACATAAACAAAAACACACACAAACAAACAAAAACATATACACTCAAACACACTTACACACAAACACACACAATTACACGCTCAAACAAACACACACACACACAAACAAAAACACACACAGACACAATTACACACACAAACACACACAAAAAAACAATCACACAAACAAACACACACAAAGACACAATTACACACACACACACACAAACACACACACACACACACAGACAGACACAATTACACACACACCGAAACACACTAATATACAAATACACATAAACAAAAACACACACAAACAAACAAAAACATATACACTCAAACACACTCACACACAAACACACACACACACACACACACACTCAAACAAAAAAGCACATACACACAAACAAAAGCACACACTCAAACACTTACACACAAACACACACAATTACACTCTCAAACAAACACACACGCACACAAAAAACACTCACACAAACAAACACACACAAACAAAAAAGCACATACACAAACAAAAACACACACACTCAAACACAAACAAAACCACATACACACAAACACACACAATTACACACTCAAACAAACACACAAACACACACACACTCACAAACAAAAACACACACAGACACAATTACACGTACAAACACACAGGCACACAAAAAAACTCACACAAACAAACACACACACTCAATCACACTCACAATCACACACAATTACACGCTCAAACAAACAAACAAACAAACGAACAACACACACACACACACACAAACAAAAAAACACACAAACAAAAAACAAACACTCACAAAAAACAAAAACATAAACAAACATACAAACAAACAAACAAAAACACACACCCAAACACACTCACAGACAAATAAATACACACAAACAAAAAAAGCACACACACACATAAACAAAAACACACAAACAAACAAACAAACAAACACACACACATAAATACATACATAACAATTACATGCTCAAACACACACAAAAAAAAAAAAACACACACAAAGACACAAACAAACACACACACACACAAAAAAAGCACACAGTCTACTCTCCGGTGAGCAGTGTAAGCAGCAGTACCTGCAGCCGTCCCGCAGCAGGGAGGAACCCACCAGGCGGAGGAGAAGATGCTGCTGATGACGTCTGGAGGGAAGAGCGTGACGTTCCTCTGCACCTGCAGCAGGTTCAGCACCAGCGCCAGAAACACTCCCACCGTGAAGAGCATGGCGGCGCGGATCAGCAGGTTCACACTGCGGCTGGTGATCATGCTGACGTACGGCCCGCGGCGCGACACTGACGAAACCTCCGACATCTCCTCACATGCCTACAGGACAGAAGGAGGACCAGCTCACCACACTTCTCCACAGTTCACATCAGGGCTCGCAGATGGCCCGTTTCCACTGAGTGGTGCGGTTCGGTGCGCTTTTATGATCGATTCTGCTGTCAAAAGGTACCTAAAAGCGAACCGTACCATACCACTTTATTCAGTACGCCTACTAGTGTCCATCTCTCCATCTCATTAGCATAAACAGCAGCCCTGAGTGAGAAGCAGCCGTCTGTCCATTAGCCATTAGAGTGTTTGAGCTGCTGAAGATAACGTCAGCATAGACTAAGAGGATTATAGATGTGGAGCTTTAGATGAACAGCGACAGCAGCGACATAGACTGACAGAAGCATCAACACACACTCACACCTGACCAGCACTCACAACACACACACTGCTGTTTTACATCCGTCACTATGCTGACACGCAGGTGTTGGTAGCTCCGCCCTCTTCTGAAAAGAGCACAATCTCATTTGCATTTAAAGCGACAGTCACCAAAACGCCCCAATTAGGATTAAGGCCTGAAAGGGTCAGTTTCAGAGAGCTGGAGAACATTACCTGTGTGTTATTCTCAGCTCAAACACACACACTCTAGACACATTTACAGCTTGTAAAAAATGACATTATAGGTCCCCTTTAATTAAAAACATATAACATAACAGCAGCAGATCACTTTAGATAAAGCACACACACACACACACACACACACACACACACACACACACACACACACACGCCTGACAGGTTACTGCAGGTCAGTTGTTAGTTAAATAAATAAGTCTATCTGGTCGAGCAGCTCAAAGGCCACATCAGGAGCAGGCCGATCAGCGTAAATAACAGTAAAATAAACACAGGCAGACAGTAACACACAGCACACTGACACAACACTAGCGGTCGAAGCTAATTATTATCCCTATATAACGTACACAGCGGTGTAGCGCGACAACAGTAGCTTCCGACCCCCTGAGAGGTAAAACATTCAAGAAGCTGAGATAAAATGCCTTATAAACGCTAAATGAAACAGGTGTTTCGTTAAACATACACACATCTCTCACCTCTGCGTCGTTTGAAAGCAGCTCCGGCTTCTCTAAAATGAAATATTAAAGTCCTCAGCGAACGGACGGAGATCTTCTTGCGTGGATAATACTGCACTTCCGCCCTGCTGATACTAGCGCAGCCAATCAGAGCACGCGGTGGTGACGCAATGATTAAGCGCTAAAATGAAGCGCTAAATTTTTATTCCTCAAAATACTGAACACATTTTTTTTACTTGCACTTACTATTATGGTTAAATTAACAAAATGTGACTGATTTAAGCGGTCCTTTATTAGTATTAAAGAAGGTTTTTCTGATCAATAATGTACTTCTGCAAGCAAATACTTTTATTCACAATTATAAGTGTTTAAAGCTTGTAGGAATCACTGAATACATATTCAATAATGCCAGAAAAAGCTGGAATTTGTTAAAAATTATGTGAAAATGACAATTTAATGGTGTTTCACTTCCCTGAAACTGTTTTTACAGTCTGTGATTTATACTTAAGATTGATGGTATTATTATATAAATACAAATCATCTTTCTGTATTTGTTTATATTGTTGATTTCTTCTAGTTGTATACTATTTCTGAAACAAATAGGCCCATTCAAAACCTATATATATATATATATATATATATATATATATATATATATATATATATATATATATATATATATATATAGGTTTTGAATACAAAATGGCATTCGACTTACAATTGTCTAATATCAATAGGGGGCCTATTTGTTTCAGAAATAGTATAAAACCTGGACAAAATAGGACAACACCTGCAAAAACAATGAATAAATAAATATGCAAATATATAAAGAAATGAGTAAAAATATCAATAAATTACTGCATAAATAACATAATAAATAAATAAAACAATAAATAAAATAATATGAAAATAAACAAATAAATGAATATAAATCTACAAATTACTGCACAAATAAAACAATAAATAAATACGCAAATAAATAAATAAACAATAAATACACAAATTCCTGCCTAAATAAAACAATAAATATGCAAATAAACAAATAAATGTACATTAAATTTACAAATTCCGGCAAAAAATAAAAAATAACTAAATATGCAAATAAATAAATAAACAAATAAATAAATAAATACACAAATTATTGCATACATAAAACAATAAATAAATAAATACACAAATAAACAATAAAATAAAAACACAAATTCCCGCATAAATCAAACAATAAATAAGTACATATGCAAATAAATAAACAAATAAATAAATAAATGAATATAAATCTACAAATTCCTGCGTAAATAAAACAATAAATAAATACGCAAATAAATAACCTGATATAAACAAATCCACAATTTCCTGCATAAATAAATACATAAATAATTAATAGTCCAGGAAGGTAAAAAATTAAATAAATTACAAGGGGAATAAGAAAATGCTAAACTGAGAGTTTTATTTTTTCAAAACAAAAGTTTGAAAGGGCAGACAATAAATTTTCAGTTTAGCATTTTCTTGTTTCCCCAATATTCGTGTAATTTATTTAATTATTTACCTGCCCACATTATAAATTAGTTATATATTTATTTATGCAGGAGTTTGTGGATTTTTATATCCATTTATTAATTTATTTGCACATTTATTATTTCATTTATGCAGGAATTTATGGATTTATTTACTCATTTATTTATATATTTCCATATTTATTTATTTTTGTATTGTTTTTGCAGGTTTCGTCGTCCATACGATTGATCTATCTCTTTATTGCTATATTGATGAGAGACTGCTACATAAAAAATATAAATAATTATCGTTAACTTCCTGCCGCAGCTGTATCTCTTCTAGCAACAGCCAAAGAAAACACACGCGTGTAGTCTCGCGTTACTTGTGTCACAGCACATCATCTCACCTCCCATTTCCGCTCTAAATTTTCACATTCCCGCCATCATCGGAAGCTCGTGGGACTCGAGCGCAGAATCTCCATCATCACAGCCGGCAAAACTCACCCGCAAACATCAAACCTCGCCCGGAGCATACGCTGATCCTCCAGCGGCCCCTCCGAGGACTCTCCCACCCTCAGGTAAGCGCGCCGCGCCCCGCAGAGCCCACCGGGAGCCGCTTTTCTCCAGAATGAGCTATTCTCACGGCCCGGGATGCTAATGCTAGCTGATTAGCTGCGTGCGGAGGATGCTGGAGCGCGAATTCATCAGAAAACCGCAGAATAAAAAGTCAAACTCGGTGCTCAGACGCGGGAAGGTGTGTATGTTCGAGTGAGGGAGCGAGTGTGTGTTTGCGTGCGTGCGTGCGTGTACTGTGTGCGCGCCTTGAGGGAGAAGCTGCAGGGTCTGTCCAGGTAAAGCGCGCGATTGAGGTAAAGTTGATCTTATATTCGCACATTCAGACTTCCTCCGTAATATACTGATTTTGCACATTTTACATTGTGAAATCGTATTAGTAGTCAGAAAGTACAACATTTCTCACAGTTAATTAAATAGTGCTAATGCTGTCTTGAAGTCATGCAGATTGAATATTGTGGTAAACACTATATGGACCGTGTCATGAGCTGTCACTGACCGAATGTGCGACTATAAAGCCAGGTTTACCTCAGTAAGCGCGCGGATAGTCCTCCTGACATGCTGTTTGTTTACTTCTAGTCTTGACTCGCTAGTTAACTTCTCCAAACACTTCATGGCGTGATAAACGAGCGCTGCTGTGCAGGTCAGTTGGCTAACTTCAAAACATCAGAGGTTAAAGGGTCACGAAACACCAAAACACATTTTTTGAGCTGTTGACAGTGGTATATGTGTCCCACACTGCTAAAAACACTATTAAGACACCTATATTTCACTAAAAAGTGTAAATTGGTTGTTTTTGCGTTATTTCAAGCAAATTCGTACTTCCTGTTTGAAACGAATTTTTGAAGCTGCGTCACGGTCATGACATAATAGCGTGTATTCCAGCGTGCAGACTGGACGTCTGTGCCAGAGTGTGCCTTATTACGTCTTACAGTGTGATGCATTAATGCATGAGTTAGGCTTGGTTCAAACCAATCAGCGCGCTCTATTGTGCAACTTCATTAATATTCATTAGTGTCACCGTCTTTACACCACAGAGACGCCACGTTGTGTTGGCAAAACAAGCGTGAAGTGTTGCTTTTACAGTTTGCTGCCATTAAGTTTCGTTTTCATTTTCTCTCTGTGAGAGCTTATCTGGATCACGTGTGGATTACAGTGTACGCGACGCTCGACAACAATAATTTACGTGTCTAAGGAGGATTATTGTTTACCTGAGAGCTGTTCTCATCTGCAAACGCTGAAATCCGGATTCCGGATGTAGTCTTCTCTTCATAAAGACGCGGCTCTAGTTGCTGGTGATTGTCCTGTCTCTACAGATTTGGTAAGTGAGCGACCAGTGCTCTTTGTATATTCAGTTTGTTCGTATCAAATAAGTTAACTATTGCATTGAGTGCAAACATGTTAGCACCGCATTTTGTGACCGGAATAACACACGCGGCTTTCGGACGCTACCTGCCGTGTGCATCTAAGTTTCCGGGAAATGCGGAGTTTTTTTTCTGTCATTCGCCGTGCGGTATCAAACATTGCATGAAAAATACACGCTTAGAGCAGTATCTCGAATCAAATATCTCATTTGTCGCGAGGGGCATGAATGAATTCCCTGAATGAAAGAGCCGAACTGCAGTTAAAGTCCGACATTTAATAATTTGGCAAATAATTCGACTACAGATGTCCATGTAGGTTAAACACCATCCCTTTCTCCTGTGTATTTTGACTGAAACTCGCGCGTGCCCAAATAGACACTCCCACACCCTCCCACTTTAGTTTCTCCGACACTCCCCCCTAAACAGAGCTGGACACCCCCACTTTTCTGACTTTTTCCAAAGAAGAGGTGTGAAAACACCCTGCTGAAACGAGGGGGTTTCATGGCCCTTTAAGATCAACGAATTTCCAACGACCGTTAGCGGTGAGGGATTGTTGTTTGTTTGTGTCATTATATAATATAATTGAATGTATAATAAATGTTGTTTAGCGTAGATTATTTTAGCATGACGCTTGTTTTGTTCCGAGTTTAACAAACACTCATTCTTTAACGTTACACGCGCACGTTACTTTTACACGGTTTGTTTGTTTTTGTCATTAACGTAAAAGTATAGTAACGTAAATGTTGCTGTTAAACTCAGATTATTTTAGCATGACACTTTCGGTTTTCTGGAACCCTGCTAAAAATCCAACTTAAACCAGCCTAGGCTGGTTTTAGCTGGTCGACCAGGCTGGTTTTAGAGTGGTTTTGGCCATTTCCAGCCATTTCCATTCTGGTCTTAGCTGGACAGGTTGGAAAAGACCAGCTAAAACCAACTTGACCAGCCTGGTTTAAGCTGGACATAGCTGGTTTTGGGTGGGCTTCCAGCCTGGCTAGCCTGGTCAAGCTGGTTTTAGCTGGTCGGCTCCCAACCTGACCAGCTAAGACCAGGCTGGAAACCAGCCTGGAAATAGCCAAAACCCCTCTAAAACCAGGCTGGTCGAGCAGCTAAAACCAGCCAACCATCCTAGTCTGGTTTAAGCTGGATTTTTTCAGCAGGAAATTAGCAAACATTTGCGCTTTAGTGTTAATTTACACGTTACTTTTACACTATATGTTTGCTTTTGTCGTTAATGTAAACGCGTAATAAATGATGTAGTTTAGCTCAAATTGTTTTAGCATGACTCTTGTTTTCTTCTGGAGGCTAGCCAACAATCACGCTTTAACGTTACATGTAATCGCGCGTTACTTTTACACGGTTTGTTTGCTTTTGTCGTTAACTTAAAAGTATAGTAACATAAATGCTGCTGTTTGGCTCAGATTATTTTAGCATGACACTCGTGGTTTTCTGGAAATAAGCAAACATTTGCGCTTTAGTGTTGCATGTAATCTCGCGTTACGTTTACATGGTTTGTTTACTTGTTTTGGCATTAACGTGAAGGGGTTATAAATGATGTTTAGCACAAATATTTTAGCATGACTCTTGTTTTCGTTTGAAGGCTAGCAAACAATCGTGCTTTAACGTTACATGTAATCGCGCGTTACTTTTACACAATTTGTTTTTGTCATTAACGTAAACGTATAGTAATGTAAATGCTGCTGTTTAGCTTAGATTATTTTAGCGTGACACTTGTTTTGTTCTGGAAATTAGCAAACATTTGCGCTTTAGCGTTACATGTAATCATGCGTTACTTTTACACGGTTTATTTGTTTTGTCATTAATGTGGAAATGTAATGCATGATGCCATCTAGCTCAGATTATTTTAGCGTTACACTTGTTCTGTGGAATAGAAAACATACATTATCTCTAATGTTACATGTAATCTTATGTTACTTTTACACTGATTGTCTGTTTTTTGTGATTAACGTGAAGGTGTAATGAATGAAACTGTGTAGTTCAGTAGTTTACACTTGTTTTGTTTTTTAAGAATATCAGACGTTTGTGCTTTAAGGTTACATGTTGTGTCATTACCATGTAATCCTGCTGTGTGGTTTAGATTATTTAGAATAGTGCATAAGTATGCTATTTGGGAAGCACCTGAACACTTGTTTGTATTTGTTTTGTCTCATTATGTGGTATATGTGAAAATGCGAGTGTAATGCTGTTTATCTCAGATTATTTTCGCATGTCACCTGTTTTGTTCTTAAGATTAGCACACATTCGTGGATTAAAGGGCCATGAAACCCCCCTCTTTCTGTTCAAGTCTACCTCAGAATTTAGATTTTAAACGTGCGAACACAGCAGCACGTATATAGTTAATAATAATAATTCTAATTCCTTACATTTTATATAGCGCTTTTCTGGACACTCAAAGCGCTTTACACATACGGGGGAATCTCCTCATCTACCACCAGTGTGCAGCATCCACCTGGATGACGCAACCATTTTGCGCCAGAGCACACACCACACACCAGCTGATTGGTGGAGAGGAGACAGAGTGATGAAGCCAATTATGATATGGGGAGGGTTAGGAGGCCATGATGGACAGAGGCCAGTGGGCAGATTTTGGCCAGGATGGCGGGTTGAAACCCCTACTCTTTTTCGAAGGACATCCTGGGATTTTTAACAACCACAGAGAGTCAGGACCTCGGTTTAACGTCTCATCCAAAAGACGGCGCACACTGAGCAGTTTAGCATCCCCGTCACTATACTGGGGCATTAGGACACACACAGATCACAGGTTGGGCGCCCCCTGCTGGCCTCACTAACACCACTTCCGGCAGCAACCTAGCTTTCCCATGTGGTCTCCCATCCAGGTACTGACCAGGCCCAGCTTCAATGAGCGACCATGTGCGAGTTGCAGAGAGCTAGCTGCCGGCTAATGTGTTCGTATTGTATAGGCGATGTGTTTGAATGGTAATGAACTCAACTGATAAAACACAAAGTCTGTCATTCTCCAATTCGTGTACTGCTCTCCTGACAGAAATGTTTGCTGCAAAGCAACAGCTTTGCTGTATCAGCCCTGACAGCATTGCGGGGAAACACATGCAACAAATCCTGTATATCATGGAAATAAACACCTACGACCCTTCATGAATGGCTAAATGCTGTGTGCTGTGTGCAGACACGGTCTCACAGCTTGGCAGGTCTGCCTCGCCTTCGGAAAGCATGTGCTCTCATTAACAATTGAGAAGCAGGGTCTTCTCATAGGATAAGAAAACTCTGCTATGAATAATAATGAAAAGCCGAAGCATCATCACTCGTCTAGCAGATTTACGCTGCGTCACCGATTTTGATCCCGCCTCATTTATTATTTTAAACCCGGAAGATGAAATTAGCTGATAAAAGCTCAAAATTATCCAGTTTTTCCACAAATAAAGCTGACAGGTGCTAACCTTTTAAATTAATGAAAATTAAATTTTCTTTTTAAAATTAATTTGATTAAAATTAACTTTTCTATTTTTAAACTTGGATATCACAATCTTGAATCTTTTTCTATAAAGAGGGATTTGACTTTTGCAAACTTTTGCATTTGTGAATGTGACAATTACATAGAATACATCTTCTAATAAAAGCTGCGTCTTTTGTTCAGTGTTTTGTGGAGGATCTTCGCCCTGATGGCCGCCGCAGTGCCCAGGCTGACCAGCGGTGGCGCTGTCCGCATCCGCATCAGGTGTGGCGAACTGGGGACCACCAAGTGGAGAGAGGGGGTAATTGAGATCCAGGAGAGAGACAACAAAATCAACCTGCTGGTCAAGTTCAACAGCGGAGGAGCTCCGAGGGTTTTTCAGGTGCGAGAGTGCAGCGTGTGCTTCACTGTAACCCTGGAATAACAGTATTTTAATTCTAATATTTTAATTCTAAATGATAATGTAAAATAATGGTCCGTTTCTACTGAGTGGTTCGGTTCTTGTCTGTTTCCACTCAAAAGGTACCAATACTGTACCACATTTTGGGTATCTTTTCCAAAGAAAAAAACAAAAGGGTACCAAAAGGCGGAGCTAGACACGCAGCTGAATGCTATTGATTTGCAGAGATATGCCAGTAGCGCGTGCACAAGCTAGGAGAATGAAAACAAAGGAATCGCCATTTATTAAACACACAGCTGAAACATTACACTGTAATAATCTATGCATATAATAATGAGCCATGGTCGATCCGAGCTCAAAATAACCTTGTCGTCGACTTGATAAACAGCCACAAAGCCAAGAAGAACAGCAGAATCTACACTGTGTCTTGTTGTTTATGAGGCTGTCGAAAAGTGGGAGTGGTTTTACTTTCTCTAGAGATTTGCATGCACTTGCTGCTTGTCTGTTTGAAATAACAAATGTCTTGAGCTGATTATAACGTGCGCGTGATTATTGAAGTGCGTCTGACACCCGAGGCTCAGAAAAACAAAGAGAAGCCAGAAAAACAAAGGAGCAAATGATTCGCAAATAAAGCAAGTAAACAATTGTGCACACGTCTGTTTACGAGCGAATAGCGTGATTTATCGGCACAATCCGCGTCTGGCGTGAACACAGCATGAGGCTCTGTATGTGTTCATATGTTTTATTTTTTTATTGTGTATATAGTGGCGGACGGACGATGTAACGTTACAGTAGGCTTTCACATTATCATTGATTTGTAGCTATAATCAAATTCTGTTCATATAAAGGTTATTAATTAACATTTATACACAAAGCATTTGTTCAGTATGTAGTGCCTCTCGTAAGATATTGTAGGGTCCACCCAGTTGGCCCAATGCCGGTATCCACTGGTGGATGAAGGTTCACTGCATGTTCGGTCTTTAAACTTAACTCATATCTGACTCCAATTTTAGTATGAGGTGGTTTAGAATATTAATATATTTATCCTCGTTTTATCTGACTCCAATTATAAAACTTTAAGAAGATTATATCAATATGTAATTTAGATAAATGTTTGAACCGTTTGTCTTCACTAGTAACTATTACATCCGTTCATTCGGGTGCTCATGTCGCTCAGAGAGATCGCCTCGGCCGAAGGCGTCCCTCACGGTCACACTCCGGTCAGTCTTGAATATTAAACAGAGGTAAATTGACTAATACTTTAGATGGCCGCTACCAGCGTGCTCGTTCTAAAATACTTTAGTTAGTCCCGCTTAGATGTACACCTTTGAGTTAAGACAATCATCATTTCTAATTAGAGGTTAGGGCATTAATATAAATGTACCCGACTACTGGACTCTATAGTAACTTTGGTTTTCACCAAGCCCATGGTTTCCCATATGAACTTAATTTAGAATAATATTACCTTCAAACAAAGGTCGGGTACCCAATCTAGGTTAGTCGTGCAACACCTTGTTGACCTAGACGGAAGTTATCGCCCTTTCCACCTAAGTACACATGAATCAATATCAAGAGTCAGCCGGATCGCTAAAACACAATTAGTGTGCCAATGCTCCATCTCAATTGGATTTTAGTCCGTCTACTGACCTGACGCAAGACGTGCGGAAACAAGGATACAGCGTAATCTACTTGAATTAATAATTACAGAGTGAGCAAAATATGGTCAAACATTACAATTTATTAGTCAGGTCAATGTATTATGCCAATTCAATCAGTCAATTCATAAATGATCAATACAAAACATCAAATTATCAAAGATAAATCCAAGATGAAAAGATGCATATCCTGACTTTGAAATATACATAACATGGGGCAGACCCCATGTTATGGGCTGATCTGGTTAGGCAGAATCGCCCTGAGTTTTTCTTAGGCCTTACCTTAAATAATCCAAGAATTCCCTCAAGGAAGGGGGTGTGAACAAAAGGCATTCACACTTAGTGGCACACCCCTCTCAGTGGTTCAAAAGATGCCTGAAGTTATATATTTATTGTTCTGATTATGTCTATTTCTAAGAGAATGAGACCATTGTACCAATCGCACTGAGACATTTCAAATGATATCAAACATGATAATTAAAGTCAGTTTGGTTAATCTAAAACATTCAAACATTGAAATGACCATATGCGTGAGTTGGGGGATGAAGCTGAGTCTCAGCATAGGCAGATGCAAATGCAGCAGGAACTGGTTTTTCCCGCATTCCTCCCTGGTGGGTTGTGAAGTCACCAGTCTCTGTTTTCAGCTCATGTTTTGAATTGTCAAAGATATCAGAATATTTGCAATATTTCAATTCTTACAATATGACAACTTTGAGTGAGAATGACGTCGACCAAAAGAGTACCAGTGGTGCCATTTAGAAGTGGAGACACAAACCTGTTAAAGGTGACCCGTATTGTACCTTTCAGTGGAAAATGAGACATAAGTTACCTTTCAAGAATATCTCATTTCAAAATTCATTCATGGGTGATAAAATAATGTGATGTCATTTGGGAGTACAAAGCTGCCATCTACTGAAAACCGATTTTAAGTAAAGGTGGCAGGGTGACTGAAATCAACGCTTCCCTATTCCAGTCTCCATCACCATAATTGTAAAATAGGCTTATCCAACCAATGCCCAAACACAACTGCTACCTTAACTATTAATAAGCAGATAATTATTAGTTTGGCTAAAAAAAATCATAGAGTATTCGCTATTAACAAACCATTAACTATTAAAAAAATTATAATAATGACCAAAACAATCTGATGGTAAACCTTAAAAAAAGGTCCCCGTTTACGTTCTAAAATACTGTATATTGCTTGTCAAACACAATGCAAAATGTTAAAATGTGAATACAATATAAAAACACAAATCATAAATAATACTGATTATATCCACTGTTTTGAATTGGAAGCGTTCTCGAGGCAAGATTTTTAGGCAGACAAATTATTAAACTAAGTGTTTTTATTTAAGTATTAACCTGTTTGGTTTATAGTAGACTGATTAACATGTTTACCTGCAGAGTTTTGGTCATGTTGATCATTTAGAGATGATGAAGTTAGACTAGGGTTGATAATCAACTGTAAGGTCATCTTTAGGAAACATTGGGCATCAAACGCTATAAAAGCTCATTCATATGTGTGTTTTATTCCAGCTGAGTCACAATGTGAAGAGTGTTTCGTGGTTTCAAACGCACGGGCCGAACCGCATGACACTGACTCTGAAAGACTCCTGCATCGTCATGATGGACAAGCTCAACATGCTGGTCGCCAAAAAGATGAAGGAATATCTAGAAACGGTGAAGCTTGGTAAACCTGCAGGTGACTTTCTTTTCTTTTTCAGCTGTCACTTTGGAACGGAAAAATTATATCTAATGTTAATGTGTACATTTTTACTTGTTTACATGTATTTTTTCGGTATATTTTCTTATAAATTTATCACTTAAAATATTTAAAGTTGATATTAATATTAATGTAGAGAAATTTAAAGTCCTAAAAAGGTATTTAAAAGTCTTAAATGCTATTTTGCAAGGTATTAAATGTGATATCATTTTTGATTCTGCCATGTATGGTTGTGTGCTAAAGTTTGCCTGAAATACATCTGTGAATATCAGGATGCTGTGTAGTTTATGAAGTCAATGAAATCCTGCTAGATTTGACATCATGCTGCTTTGTTTACTGCAGTAACCAAGGCGACACCATTATTTCTGCAGTTCTAAAGGCACCAACCTGCTGAATTAGCTAGATTTAATACATTGGTATTCGGTATATGAATAATGGTTTAGTTTTGAATGAGTTTCTTACATTATATGTAGTTAATATACTGCAGGTTCTCGCCAGTGTTTCCAGTTGAAACCTAATGTGGTTATAAGGTCTTAAAATGTATGGAAAGAGACTTAAAAAAGGTCTTAAAAGTTATTGAGTTTAACTATGATTCCTGTATATACTCTATTATATACAATCAAGCCCTGAAATTATTCATACCCCTAGCAAATTCTGACTTAAAATTATGTTTGTTCAACCAGCAAGTTTGTTTTTGATGGGAAATGACTCCCAAAAGATAATAAGATGATGTACTAGAGGCATCATTGTGGAAAATTATGCTTTTATTTACATTTGAACAGAAAGTGGCATGTCCAAAATTATTCACATCCTTCTTTATAATCAATAGAAAAGCTGTTATTGGCTATTACAGTGATCAAATGCTTCCCAGAAATTGCTGATCAGTTTTTTTGCTTGCCTCCACTTGTGTTTTTGCCCATTCATCTTTAGCAATGAGCTCAAACTCTCTCAGGATTTAATGTCTGATCTTTAGCTTGCTTCACAAATTCTCAATTGGGTTAATGTCAGGACTCTGGCTGGGCCACTGCAAAATGTTAATGTTTTGCCAACTTGTTTCATACAAGGCTTGACTGACGCTTTAGCTATATTGATCTTGCCGCAAAACAGCCATGAGTTGCTGATGTTTCAATGAATAAACTCCATCTCCGCTGTCACTTCACTGCCATATATTCACTTATAAATCATGATAGTTGAATCCTAAATATTCGCTTTTAGCCCAGATTTTTCATTTTGGGGCATTCTAATAACACGTGTATTATATATGTATTAATTTGACGATTGATAAGCATAATAATAGTTTAAAGACATTGTTTGAGTGTTTGGTTTCGTCTGTTTCTTGTTTCACAAAACAAAATATACTGAAGAATTCTGGTAAAAACAGCCATTGTCTTCAATTGTGTGTTTTGTTCTTTAAATTTTTCCAACATTCTTCAAAATATATTAGAAAGCAATTCATAATTTTACAACCTCTTGAGTGAGAGTAAATGACGAGGACATTTTAGATTGTGTGAACTGTCCCTTCTTATTTGTTTTCGTCATTTCTGTTCTTTCAGTTTTTAAGACGAACCAGGGCAGTGCTAGTTTTGGGCTGGTTCTTGGAAATCGAACAGCACAGAACGACTCAGGCCTTTCTCCGTCAGATAAACAGGTAATGCAGCATCACGAGTGCTGTGAAAGGTCATCAGTGACAATATAAATATGGCAGATATGAGCTGATATGAGCTGATAAAGGCCTATGCTGCACTGCACTTTCCAGCAGTGTTTAGCATGATGGTTTCACTTTCCATCCAGCCGTAGTAACTGCAAGATCTGAAGGGGCTTTCACACCAGATGCAGAAATCACTGCGCTTTAAAACCCAATCATTTCTGCTGCACGAACCAAAACGCAAGGAGCTCACTATTGACTAGTTTGTACATGTCATGGTCGAAGTTCAAAATGGCTTTGGTTATTTAGCTAATTTACATGTATTTATTTATGCATGAAACACACTTGCACAAGCAAAGTCGGCGCAAATAATGGACAAGACATTTGTATGCAGTATACTTGTTCCTGCTCCCTGCAATGTTATTACTGTGCTGTCAATGCAAGGCTGCTAAAATGACCTTAATACAACATTCATTCATTCATTTTCTTGTCGGCTTAGTCCCTTTTATTAATCTGGGGTCGCCACAGCGGAATGAACCGCCAACTTATCCAGCAAGTTTTCACACAGCGGATGCCCTTCCAGCCGCAACCCATCTCTGGGAAACATCCACACACACATTCACACACACACTCACACACTACGGACAATTTAGCCTTCCCAATTCACCTGTACCGCATGTCTTTGGACTGTGGGGGAAACCGGAGCACCCAGAGGAAACCCACGCGAAGGCAGGGAGAACATGCAAACTCCACACAGAAACGCCAACTGAGCCGAGGTTCGAACCAGCGACCTTCTTGCTGTGAGGCAACAGCACTACCTACTGCGCCACTGCTTCGCCCCTTAATACAACATTTTATCACAATAATATTACTATTATAATTATATCAACGGCATCGCTTGAGCACAATACGCAGTTGATTCAGTGGTTGCCTAGCAACCTAAAAAGCGCAATGCACTACTTTTGCTCTAGTCAACAAAACATTTTTATTCATGTGCATTAAATAGTTTCTAGATAAATATAGAAATGAATATGACCAGGCTGATCTTCTGTTTCTTGCAGAGTGCTCCCAGGCGTTCCAGTCTGGACAGCAGAGAGGACAGCACCCCCCGAAAGCCCCTGGGTAGCCCAAGCCGGGTCACGTCCACACCGGCCCGCGGCAGCCTCTCGGAGATCAGGTGAGCGCAGACACCCTGGTGGCACATCAGCCGGCTGGACTCTGTTTCCCCTTTAAAATCTAAAGATAAAAAGGTTTTTCTTCAGAGAAGCTTTTAAAGATCTGCAGGTTTAAATATGCTCTTTAATGCTTATTTAGTTTATTGTGATTTTGCTATAAACTGTAAGGTGTCCTTGAGTGTGTTGAAAGGCGCCTGTAAAACAATAAAAGGCCTTATTATTATTATTATTATTTACTCACCATCAGTTAGGACTGCAAAATATATTTTTTTTGCATCAATATTGCAGTAGTCACAGCGCAGGATTTCCAATGTCTAGTTTTGGGATTATAGTAAACAATGAAAACAGGTTAGAACAGATGCACAGTTTAACCATAATAAAGCGAAAGATAATAATTTGATATCATTCAAACCGTTTAAATATTAGTCATTTGCTTAAATGTTAAAATATTTCTGCGCTAATAGCCTAGTAGTTAGTGCGATCTTTTATCAACACATAGCATCCAGGTGCTCGCGGCGACCCGAGTTCGATTCCCGGCTCGAGGTCCTTTGCCAATCCTTCCCCTGTCTCTGCTCCCCACACTTTCCTGTCTGTCAATCTTTACTGTCCTATCAATAAAGGTGAAAACCCCTAAAAAATAATTATTAAAAAAATTTTAATGTTTTTTAGGTATGTGACTAAAGTGTAAACCATTTAAATTATATCAAATTATACATTTTGTAGCTATAAGGCTAATTGTATTTCATTATGCAATAACGACAACAGCAGTCAACATTTGAAATCAAAAATGTTTTTCAAAATTGTGCAGAATTGGTCTTAATTAGGTCTAGGACAACGTTGATAAAATATGTTGATCTTCTTCATGTGTTTACCACTGTATACGGGGTTATTTTACATTTGAAAATTTAGTTTCTGTATCTCAGTACTGTTGGACTCTCCAGCAAACCTTAAAGCACTGTGTTTAATTTGCATTGTTGCTTAAAGCTTTTAGTTTATGCTTGTAATGTTTATTATGTTTTATGTAGATGCACTCCATATCAGTGAAAATTGTATCAATTAAATATTTAAACTGTTTAAATCCTCTAGTGAAATTATATGCATAATTTTTTATGCCTATAATATTATGCAATATATATTATGCAATATATATTACAGAAATACAAAATATTGCAATGGCAGTATTGTGCAGCCCTACCTTCAGTGTTCTCCGTTTAATTTTGTTTCTTCTGTTGATCACAAAACACAATCTTCAGAGTGGGAGAACTGTCCCTTTAACGTAAAGAGCAAATTGACTGCATTGAACCCAACTGTGAAATGTGTGTTGTGTAGGAGTGAGAAGAGGAAGAGGCTGATGAACTCTGACGGAGACCTGACGGAGGACTATCCCAAAGAGAACGACTCTTCCAGGTAAACCGCACAAAGTCCCATTGAAACCTACATGTTTAATGTTTATTTTGCTATAGCTCACATTGTTTTCTTAAGGTGAATAATTAAGCGGACTTTAATCTTACATGTAGAAGAATAACTTCAACGTTACTAAACACAGGACTGGAGCTTTTTCTCAATAAATATTACTATAAAATCAATAATTCTTTTGGAAGTGATGCATTACATTATAAAATGTCTTTGCCGTCACTTTTGATCAGTGTTATAAAACAAGTCCGTACATTTAAAACTGCACAATACTGGGAAAATATGCAATGTTATTGAGTATTGCACCAACGATATTTCTTGCGTTAAAACAACATTTCCGTGGAGTAAGGATAATTAAATAATTAAGGATAAATAATTTACATGCAAAGTCGAAGTATAAACAGCAGAAGTGAACGAATAGATTTTCCCTACCAGCAAATATTAATCGAAGCAAAATAAACTGATATTGAATATATAAGCAGACGCTTGCATGCTATACCATCATCACTGATGACTGAATCGCTGAGGAATATCCACAAGATAAATGTAAACATCGCAGAATTGTAGCTCAGACAGGGACATGAGGGTTTTAAATGACTGAAAACTGCAGACGATGGATCACAAGTGTCCACAATGTACAGGTTGTGATCATATCTCTGTTTCATTTTGCTGATGATCCAAATATTGGTAGCTTGAAACAGATGGAAATATGAGTGGATTGTGCATCGTTTCTATGAAGACCCTTAATGTAGCCGCCATTACGGCTCATTGTTTTTGTCCGCCAGGCCTCCACAAGGTTTACGTGATTGAAAACAATCAATTATTTACTGTATTTTGCCATCACATTGTCATAAAAGCTGCTAGACTTTTAAACAGTACTTGCTTAACAAGAAACCTGATTTGTCTGCTTTTGCATGTGTTCAGCAACAATAAGGCCATCACAGACTCCTCCAGAAAGTTCCTGCTCAGCTGCAAAGACAAGCTCAAGCAGTCGGAGGAGAACAGAGCCTCTGGTTGGTATTTAACTCTCATTTATCTTGTGAAACCGCTTCTCCCCTTGGCTTTATTATATGATTTTGGGTTTTTTCCCCTCAGCTCCACACACTCCTGCTCCTCTCCAGCCCACGTCTTTCTATGGGAGCCGAACAGGGGCTAAAGACTACACGCAAACGCATTCATTTCTGGACAGGTAAACAATCAGACTTGGTGTTTAAGGCCAATTTTTTCCAATTTAATGCGCTACTTTTGCTTTATCCTTAACTAACCTGCTTGAAAATGTTGCAGAAAAAGATTTTTAGTCGCTGTCAGGATACAACATTTACATTTTTACACAAATTATTTTTCTTTTTTGTACTTTATTTAAGTGTCAGTTGTGTATTTATGTTCATCTATATCACAGGTGTCAAACTCGGTTCCAAAAGGGCCGCAGCTCTGCACAGTTTAGTTCCAACCCTAATTAAACACACCTGATTAAACTAATTGAGTCCTTCAGGCTTGTTTGAAACCTACAGGTAAATGTGTTGGAGCAGGGTTGGAACTAAACTGTGCAGAGCTGCGGCCCTCCAGGAATTGAGTTTGACACCCCTGCTCTATATTGATGTTGTCATTTAAAAAGCCTGAAGTTGCTGATGTGGATGTTCTCTCTCTCTCTTGTGCCGAATACATCTAATAGTGCATGAATTGACTGTTATTAATGCTGGGAGATCTGCTCTTGTGTGTCCTCCAGGCCCAGCAGTACAGGTTCATGTCCATCAGCCAAAAGAAGCCTAGTTTTGCCCAATCACTCCACGCCCTTTAAAAAGGTTCGTCCCACGCTGGATTACGGAGGCTGGAACAAACCCAGACCCTCAGTGCTGGCCCAGCCTCAGCCTCCACTGCAAGGGTGAGCTGCTTCTGAACATATGCTAGCAGATAAATGGGTGCTTACAGCTTTAACAGTCAAATATTAATACTGTAATTGATCAAACTGAGCTGATTGTCATTGTTACATGTTTAAGCATACAGTGGAAATAAATGTCTCAATATACATTGTTTTTTGCAAGTAACACCTGTTTAAAATGAGCAATACTTTGTCTAATTTCCATTTAAAATTGTGGATATACTTTATATAGACTTGTTACTTGAATTATCCCAAATATTTCTTGAAATTCGGTTAATTCTGCAGGTTTATCCAGAGATTCACTCTTATCTGTCAGTGTTGTCAAACATATTTTTTAATTTCCTCATAAAACCAGTGTAATATTTATTGTAGTAATTCAATATGACAATAGATTAAAATAAGTATTAACTAATTATTTATTATGTATATTATTAATAATTATTATTATTTTAGAGGGATAATTGTTGGCTGTCTTAATTCCACCACTAATGCATCAGTGTTGTTTGTGATTATTATTTTTATTCTTTCATTCCCTTTTATCAAACTTGATCTGTATTTTTTTTTTTTTGCCATGACAATAAACTCTTAAATTCTCATCATCTTTTACTATTTTAAATCATGAATTCAATCTGTAATGTTTAAGACGTAGCACTTTGCTGCAGTGTTATTGACTGGGATCCACCTCTGTTATCTGCTTGATTATTAGATTCTCCAATCTTGGGAACACGTGCTACATGAACGCCATCCTCCAGTCTCTCTTCAGCCTGCCCTCCTTTTCCAATGACCTGTTGAAGCAGGGCATCCCGTGGAAGAGGGTTCCCATTAACGCCCTTCTCAGGTACACACGCGTTATATTTTATTTCTAAAGTAGTAGCTTGTTTAAACAAGTCGACCTCAACAATAAACACAGTTTATTTCTTGGCCTGTTGCAATTAGACTAATTAAAGTGTCTTTGTCTTGCACTTTTCACTAATTATGGTTTCAAAGCAGCTTTATTAAATGTGCACGTTATTGGATTACAATAAAAATCAGACAACTTAGGGTAATTAGTTACTAAAACTAACTACTAAACTAATAACTTAACCAATTATTAATAACTTGGCAGTTAAAGTTATTATATAAACATATTTTTTTATGTTTGTGTGTTGTGCAGCACACTCGCGCATCATACCTTTATGTGCTGCATTGTGTGTATGCTTTACTAAACAGATAGGTCTAAATCTAGTTTTGAACTGAGAAAGTGTGTCTGATCCTTACACATTACCAGGAGGGCTATTCCAGAGTTTAGGAACCATATATGAAAACACTAGACCTCCTTTAGTGGACTTTGCTATTCTGAGTACTACCAGAAACTAGATGAGTTTAGAGATCTTAAAGAGCGGGTTGGATTGTTGCGAGACAGAAGGTTGGTTAGATAAACAGGAGCTAGTATATTTGTCTTCATAGGTAAGAAGCAATATTTGATATTCAGTGACCATATATTTGCATAATCAATAAAGATATATTGAATATAGCGACATGGAAAAAGCTCTATGATTTGTGATGGTGAGAAATATATTGCAACAGATCTTTTAATTTGGTTTGTTAGCTAACAGTCCTGTTTGTGTTTTTTTGTTTCCACATAAAGGCGATTTGCTCATCTGCTGGCAAAGAAAGACATTTCCCCTCCAGAGGTCAAGAAAGATCTTCTGCGGCGAGTGAAGAACGCCATTTCTTCAACAGCGGAGCGATTCTCTGGATACATGCAGAACGTAAGTATTTATTTCATACCTGTGCTTTTCACATAATAGAGAACGGCAGTAATAAAGGCAGTGCTGTGGGTTAAATGTCTATAAAGTCCCTTTGGATTAGTGTGTTTAATGGGTCAATGTAGTTTTAGTGCAGGTGCATCTTTACTTCTGTTTACAACTAAATAACACTTTGAACTTTGTTTGTTTTTTGTCTGTAAAAATTAATTTATTAAACAAATAATTACTGTATACAACTGTATTTGTTATTGTAACAAACTATATTCATGTTTTTGATTAGAAACTAAAGACTAGTGTTGCTTTTACAGTTGACATTTAAGATTTCTGCCAAATGCAATGTTGCTTTCACAGTTTTCGTCTATTTTAATCATTTGCCTAATGCATACATGTAGTGCAGATGCATCTTTACTAGAGTCCTGTTTACACACAATGTAGTAATGAACTTTTTACAGGAGTTAAAGTGAATCGTTCAAGATGTCTGATTTATTTAGAGACTAAATATTTAAATAAATATATATAATATAATATTTATAAATTTATTATTTAAATAATATTATAAATTTATAAATTTATTTTATTAATTATTAATATTATAATTTACGTATTATTATTTATTTATAATTTATAAATATTTATTTTTATCGATTCAGCTAAAGCAGGGGTGTCCACACTCGGTCCTGGAGAGTTTAGCTCCAGCCATAATCAAACACACCTGAAACAGCTAATCAAGCTCTTACTAGGTCTACTAGAAACTTCCAGGCAGGTGAGTTGGAGCTAAACTCAGCAGGACAACAGCCCTCCAGGACCGACTTTTGGACACCGCTGAGCTAACCTGATTCATTCAGGAATGAGACACTGCAGTGTTGGTTTTACAGTTAGCTTGCTTATATTTTTCAGTCCTTGACACGCAGATACATACGCTGCTCTGTTTTTTGCGCAGGATGCTCATGAGTTTCTGAGTCAGTGTCTGGACCAGCTGAAGGAGGATGTGGAGAAGATCAACAAGAGCTGGAAGAACGAGCCGTCGGCATGGGACGAGCCTCAGAGCACGCGGTTAGCAGACGAGGTGGACACGTCACGCATCTACACCTGTCCTGTCACTGTCAACATGGAGTTTGAGGTGCAGCACACCATCACCTGCAAAAGGTCAGTTTGCTCTGCTCAATCAGATAATTAATTAGCCTTGAAGCTAGGACGGGTTAATATAACATATATGATGATAATGAGACTCATATCATGGTGAAGCACCATTTCAATCAATTCCAACAATTAATAGTTTATACATCACAAACAAGATTTTCTTTCCCCTTTCAATAAATGTGCTTGTAATAAAAAGAAAACTTAATAAATGAGTAAATAATTTAGACATAAACTTTATACAAGTTTTGGATGGGGTTGAAAATTTCCTCAGTTATGTTATACCATATTATTTGTGCTCCGAAATTGTGTTTGTCTTTGTTGAAAGCTATTCCTGGTGGTTTGGTTCAGCTGATCAAAGGGGAGTTGGGTTATTCTTCTGTGATAACAAGATTGGGCAATCTTATCATCTCTGGTATTGATTTTACTGGGCAGAGCTGTAATAATAAGACTTTAAGAATGTTCGTAAACACAGCTTTTCCCTTCTAAAGTTGAGAAAAGACCCCTTCTTTTAGATTTTCCTGAAGACAAGGTGGTTCGAATTCGAACAAGATTTCTCTCTTTTTCACTTCTACCAAAGGCAAAAGAAGTTCAGTTTAAAATTATTAACGATATTTATCCTTGTAATGAGTTCCTCAGACATAGATCTAATATGGATTGTAACTTTACCTTTTGTGAAGCAGACATAGTCATTTGAACATTTGTTTTATTAATGCAAATTTTCAAAAAAAGTTATGGGATGATTTTTCTGTTTGGTTAAGATTAAAATATGTAATGCCTGATTTTGATTTTAAAACTATAAATTATTTATCTTTTTGTCAGAATTCTGATATGGAATTTTTGGTTAACAATATTGTGACGATGGACAATTATTTAATTCATAAATGCAGATTTTTTTAATAAACCCCCCCCCACACACACACACACTTTTTTTGCTTTTCCAAAAAGATTTAATAGTATTCTTCAATTCTTTAAAGCTTATGAGACACAAAAAATCCCTTAAACTTTGTCGCGTTAAAAGCGTTTTTTGAAGATTAACCCCCTTGTATTGTATTATATTGCATTGTATTTTGCTATTTATTTAGTTTTATTTTAATCTATTGTTATTTTCTTTTGTGGATGCCGCTATTTGGACTTTCTAGTGGATTAAGATGTTTCTATGATTGGTTATTTGTTTTTTTTTCTGTATGTTCGTATAAAGATTTAATAAAATAAATAAATAAAACAATTTAGATATAAACTAATAATTGATTAAATTGCTGTAAATGGTAATATACTGACATGTTTCCTTATTGGGATATAAGATGACCTCTATAGTGATGTTTTTGTAGTATCGCCCAGCTCGACTGCTGTAATATATGTATCGTTAAGGGGCAAAAGATGAACAGAAAGCAACAGACAAACATGTCTAATGAGAGTAATCTGTGATATTGTGTAATGAACAGCTGTGGAGAGGTGGTGCTGAAGCGGGAACAGTTCAATGATCTGTCCATCGACCTGCCACGCAGGAGGAAAACCCTCCCCATGAGGTCTATACAGGACTCTCTGGATCTCTTCTTCAGGGTAAGAACAGCTGTGAGAGTGGAGAATACGACAACTCGCGATCTAGAAAATGATGGACAGTAAAGAGAAGCAGACTGAGTTAATCTTTTTCAGAAACAAAATGTGTAATAATTTACATAAGGCAAATGACAGCGGCTTTGTTTATTAAATTAATTCTGTTATATGTCAAATAAAAGCTAATGTTGTTTATAGAAATACTGAACGGCGAAAACAGCTTTGAAGATTATATTGGATTTTTTTTTCTTAACTTTTGTCTACTAATATTGAACAGTTTAATGTTAAATATATCTTATCCAACAGTAAAACTAATATAATGTAGAAAAGTAGCTGCTCTTGTTTTGTACTCTGTGAAATTGACCAGTGGTATCAGAATTGAACAGAAGGTGGTGCTGTTTTTTTGTTTATCAATATCAGTGTTGCCACAAATTTAAGTGGATTGAACATAAAACTGTTAAGTTGTCCTAAAAAAACATCAAAAATTTTTAATTCAGCTAATTTTAAATAATTGAGCCTATTTTCACAAGGGATATTGGTGCTCCCCTACTTGTATTAATATTCAAAGATTGAAGCTGCATGTTTGTTTGTTTTGTAGCGGCTCTTTATTTGTCTTTATGTGTTGACTTTGTGTTTGCAGATGGAGGAAATCGAGTATTCCTGTGAAAAGTGCAGCGGAAAAGCGGCGACTGTTTCTCACAAATTTAGCAGACTTCCCAGGTTAGCATGAACAGTCAAATTCACCCTCTTGTGAAATGTATTACAGTATAGTACAGTTTACTGTACTATACTGTAACGCTCAGCTGAAATGAGACATAAAGGTGTAAATAAGGATTTTCCATGTAGTTAAAAATAAAGAGTCTGTTCAAACAGCCACAAAACACCAGCTAACATCCACCTACTGACCAAGCACATGATCATTATTGGATGTGTTGTGAAAAAGTGTACCAAATCAGGGTATTCCTGCATACACAAGTCGTATTTAACTGCACGAACTCACTTGGATTGCGATTTAAAACTATGTCAATATCAACTACATCAATTTCAACTTTATGAACTGTATTAATTTCAACTACATCAATTGCAACTATTTGTAATATCAATTTCCACTATATCAATTTTAACTATACCATTCACCCTCCTGTGAAATAATATATAATTTATATTTCCTGAATGATGTTTTTATGCCAATCACTAATGTCATCATACATGATTTGTTTTCCATTTATAAACGCACCTCAACAAACCTTTGATTCACTGCTTATTATTAATCTTGACTGTAACAATGATGTACATATTAAAATAATAAAAATATGATATTTATAATTAACCAAATTAGGTTTAACAGATTTTTGTTTAACTTTTTAAACACACTAGTTTTAATAACGGATTTATTTTCTCTTTGTCATGATGACAGACCATAATATTAGACTAGATATTCTTCAAGACACTAGTGTTCAGCTTAAAGTGACATGTAAAGGCTTCACTAGGGTAATTAGGGTAAAGTTAGGGTAATTAGGCAAGTCATTGTATAACAGTGGTTTGTTCTGGAGACAATCCAACACTAATATTAGGGGCTAATGATATTGACTACAGCAAATCATTTATTTTATTATCATTTACCACACTGAACTAAACTAAAACACTGAAATACTGAACTACACTGTTTTACTATGATCTTTTATGTGAAGCTGCTTTGACACAATTTACATTGTAAAAGCACTATAGAAATAAAGGTGGAGTGAATTGAATTATTCCAGCCAAACTAAGAAATAATGGCAAATGCTGTGAAAAATGTCTTTGCTCTATTAAACAGCACTTGGGAAGTGTTTTAAATTGAATTCTAATTTCACAGCCGGGATAATAATGTTCTCACCGTATACTTAAGTTTGACCTGCGTGGAGTTGGCACCCCATGTAAACAAATAATCCCCAAAATTGTCATTCAGTTATGCTTGGTGTCTGAGATATTAAACTTTTTTTATTTTTATTTAATATTAGTAGGTTTATATGTGCCGTTAAAGCAAACGCTGTACCTGTTTTCTTTGTTTAGATATAACCAAAATATTTCGGAAGCTGTGATGTCACAATTGCCCAGATCACACAATTGAGTTTTGTGTGTGTGTGTGTAGTTTTTTTTTCTCCAGTAGGACTAAATGAGTGTTGTGTCTCTCCTCTGCAGGGTGTTGATTCTTCACCTCAAACGCTACAGCTACAACACTCAGCTCTCCTTAAACAGCAAACTGGGCCAACAAGTGCTGATCCCCAAATACCTGACGCTGCTGTCCCACTGCACAGACGCCACCCGCAGCCCGCTCAGCCTGGGCTGGAGCGCACAGAACGCCCTGTAAGACTCGCGCACACATATTGTCCACTTCATGCATTCCAGGCTATTCTTAACACTGTAATCCAAGAGTTTGAGTTTTTAGCAGAAATAAACTGTGAAACCTGACTAATATATACAGGCTTCATACAGGCATGCATTTTTGACATGGCATTTTCCAGGCCTGAAAAAAAAAAAAGCTTTGGAAAAAAAAAAAAACTTTTTTGTAAAAGTCATGGACATTTGTTTAGCAAATATCTGAATGCTTTAAAACATGTGTTTAATCCTTGGCCAGTCACATGCACACACAGCACTAATAACATGAAAGCATTATCTGAACACACTTGATGAATATAAAAATAAATTAACTAAATGTATGGCTTCATGTTTTATGATATGCTGTAATAATTTTGAACGTGCATTGATTTTCGTATTTATCACGTATACGACATTACATGAAACGTCATGAAAATGTACTCAAGTCACATCGTGAAACACTTCAGTAGTAAAACTGTACGAAACCTTTATATATCTGCCATATACTACGACTTGCCATGAAAACGAAGCTGGCATGGCGTTAAAGATCAAATCAAGTGTTTTAGATCTTTGTATTAGTATTGTTAAATCAGTCTTGTTTTAAGGATATCTATAATCTAGTGTCTCTAAAACAGTGACGATTCACATGTAGAAGATATAAACCTGATATTAACATTAAAAGTTTGCAAGTTTGTCATCTCCGCTTAAATGCATCAATGGTTTTATTTGCGTCTCCTTATATTTCAGTTGCTCATCAAATCTTCTGACCAACCAAATGCTCTCTAGTGTCTGACATGCCCTGCCCCCATTCTCATTGGCTGTTCATTTGATGCGCCTGAGCTTAACCACTCTCACTAGCAGAGCTGTGTGAGAAACTAAACACTATTGTTTGTCCCACCCTCTCCATGTTTTCGCTGAGATTGTTCAACATCGAATAAAAAAAAAAAAACACATTTTAAAGCACTTCATGGGACCTTTAAACACAATCAAACTTTTGTTCGCTGATGTGTAATACAGCGCTAACACTGAGCTTCATTACAGATCACGGACGCTAAAGATCTCGCAGTCCGTCAACTCATCAACACTGAGGTGAGCAGATTTTGGACCATATGCACGATGAAGTTACTTCACTTTTACTTTGTTTGCTAAGAATCATCTTTGATAGCTTATTTACTGTAAATAAAACTAGATTCACTAAAACAGTATATTTACTCTACAAATGATAATACAATGAACTATGAGGGGGGGAAAAATAAGAGTAAAATTATTGTTCAGTAACCAAAATCACTGAAATGTTCAATTAATCCAGGTTTTGAATATAAAGCCTTAATGGGATAGGGCTAGTTTTACAAATTATGAGTGTGAGTTACAACTCTTGTCATGCAAAAACATATAGTCCTATTTTCATAAATAATGAGTCATAATTGAGCAGTCGTGATGTTAATGTTGGTGTTTCCAGGAGAGCGTCCCAGAGGCCGGAGAGTTCAGGCAGTGTGCTGTGCGACTCTGACAGCGATGAGGAGCTGGTCAGAAAAGTCGCTCGCAAACATCATCCAGACGACGACAGGGCAGACGAGGTGAGGAGAGACCAAACATAGATCTTTAAAACTGTTTAAAGGGATAGTTCACGCAAACATGAAAATCTTCTCATTTAAGAGCTCTTATGATTCTCTTTCATCTGTTCAACACAAAAAGAAGATACTTTGACGAATGTTGGAAACGGGTAACCATTAACTTCCACAGTATTTGTTGTTCCTACTATGGAAGTCAATGGTTACAGGTTTGCAGCATTCTTCAAAATAGGGCTGCACAATATATGGTTTCAGCATGGATATCGCAATGTGCGCATCTGCAATGTTGAGTCTGTAAATCGCGTGTTCAGTAGCTCCTGGTCAACTATAATACAGAGTCCCTGCTAAATTTAATCATAACAGACTGAAAGTTTATCATTTGCATGTGTTTTTAAGGCCTGTGACTGAGCATTTCAAGAGGGATTGGGCTTAAAATTATGATGTTTGCGGTGTAACAAATATTAACTGCATTTAATTACTTATACAGAATTAATTTATTTACTTATTTAGAATTTTTGACTTGCTTCTAATACCCAAAATCTACATTTCAAAGCGAAGACCAGGTTATTTTACTCAGCCTAATGGCAGATCATTTTGCTTGAAGGAAAGATTTTGAGATGAAAATAATAGTGTTTTTACTTGATCTACGAAATGTAGATGAATAAGAACAGCATTTTTGCATTATTACTGTACCTAAATAATGTTCGTCTCCCCAGAGTACTGCCAAATAGAGCTGTTAATCATGTGAAACGGCATTCATATCACAATATTTATGGCAGAAAAATAAAACCTCATCATATCAGATTTTTCCAGTCCAGAATATCTTTAGTGTTAAACAGATAAGAATCATAAGGGTTTGTACATGCGAGTAAGGTTTCATTTTTGGGTGGACTATCAAGCTGCTTTATTGGCATGACATTTTGTTCATTATTGCCAATAGAATAAAACGTGTATAACTAAAATGCACAACTGTACATGTATTTAGATGAGCTGTATTATCTGAAATCTCTCTCCAGCAGCATCATCCTCATGCAGCAGTGGAGCAGTCGGAGTTTAATGGTATTAATGATGAGGAGATGCTGGCGGCTGTGCTGGAGATGAGCCGTCATGACACCAGTCTCTGCGCAGGCCCAGATGAAGAGCCCAGCAGCAGCCCAGACACCGGCTTCGGGGACGCAGACGCACACGACCTGACGCAACATCTGGAGCTGCTGGATGCAGAGAAACAGCCCACAGGTACTGATGATGATGATGATCCTGCGCTACACTCACAATCAGACTAATTATTAAACACTTTTCCCTGGGCTTTTGATTGCTTCACATCTGTTAGTTTTGATTGATTTATGTTTTCTATTTATTGGAAATGGATCTTGGACAGCCATGACGCATCAAAACACATTAAATTAAGCCTGTAATGCGTTAGACTAGCAATTATTTTTATTTTGTGTGTTCATGCAGATGCGCTGGAGTCTCTGGATCTCACCATGGATGAGAATAAGGAGAACCAGACGCCGGACGGGCTGCAGGGCGAGCTGGACTGGGTGCAGCAGTACAGTCTGGAGCAGGAGCGCGAGGAGCAGGAGCTGCAGCAGGCGCTCGCTCAGAGTCTGCAGGAGCAGGTCAGTCACACACACACTGCACACTACAGCACAATGCACTCACACAGAAAAACTATCCTGGGCTTTCCCAGCTCTATAATGGCTATAGCAGTTAAAAAAAAAAAAAGAGCATCCATTCATTATAAAAAATGCCTCTTTTTGTGAGTCCATGCATTTATATGAGAAAAATAAATACATTTAAAAATATATTAGAATAGACTAAAATGCATATCTGATGTCCCTAGAGTTTTGAGCTCAAAATAATAACTCTAATAATAATAATAATAGCAAAATAATAATAGCTCTCTGAAACCGACCCTTTCAGGCTTTGATCCTGATTGTGGTGTTTTGGTGACTGTCGCTTTAAATGCAAATGAGATTGTGCTCTTTTCAGAAGAGGGCGGAGCTACAAACGCCTGTGTGTCAGCATAGTGGCAGATTCAAAAGCAAGACTGTCTAATGCTAATGAGGGAGAGATGGGCACTAGTGGGCGGGGCTTTCCCCCTCTGATGACATCATACAAAGGGAGAATGTCAATCAAAGTGTTTCTGCAAACTCACGTTAGGCTTCTTTGGAATAACATTATTTTTTATTTATCGTCTCCATTTAATATTTAAATTTGTCCATAAAAGATATATTTCTGTATTTCTCTAGCAATGATCATGCTCTCGATCTTATTGTTAATTTTATTTGTGTTACACTGTTAATTCAATAGATTTAATACTTGAAATTTTGCTCAATATTAACTCTTAAGCTTTTTATTAATAATAAGACTAATAAGTTTCTTAATGCTTATGATAATCTTTTTTTCCTAATGATTGAGGCTTAAAGTTTTTGTTATTTTGTGTGGTATTTATTTATTTTTGTTACTGTTTTTTTTTTTTTTTTCAATGGAGTTATTATTCTTGTATTTAAAAAAAAATTCTGCCGACAGATTTTATCAAGTCTGATTAGAACAAATGCAATTAAGAAAAATATTTTTTTTCTTACTAGGTCCACTTTGAATATTAATATTTTTCTTGCATTAATGCATGAGTTTCAATTGTTTGCGCAGGAGGCGAGAGAGATGAGAGAAGATGATGATCTGAAGAGGGCAACTGAACTCAGCCTGCAAGGTCAGTGAGAGAACATAATCGGTTAAATAGATTTTAGCATTCATTTAGTAGTTCGAGTGTAAAATTAGATGAATAGCAGTGTAAACACAAGTGCTGTCAGTAGCAGTAGGATAGTGCTAGACTATTGAGAATACTGGGGTAAAATATATTTCCATATTTTAAATACATGGTGCAGATTAATGCAATGCTTCTTGTCTGGTCTGAGACCCACTTCATATCACGTCTCAAACAGCCAGTGAAGATGATTGATTTTAAAGAAACCAGATCTTAAACGTTTTGAGTTTATACTAGCATGAACGAGCAAAAAACTTAAGCTGGCTGACTGAAAATCAGACATCCCTGTATGAAGAGTTTGTTTGTGTATGAGTGAGCATGTGTTTGTGTTGTTGTAGAGTTTAATAACTCTCTGCCGGAGCTGCTGTGCTCTGATGAGGACTCCGGGAATGAGGACGGTCTGGATATGGAGTACAGCGAGGCGGAGGCCGAAGAGCTCAAGAAGAACGCAGAGGTGAGATGCTGTTTTTATCACTGCAGTATTTTATTAATATGCATGTTTCATTATGATTTAAACATGTTATATTTATTAAGTCAGTATATCATGAGGATGATGAACATGCGCAATATTGATATGATGGGCAAATATTTATAGTTTAAACTTTCTGAACGCTTTTATATTATTCAGATCGTGTTTGCTGAGGTGTTCATAACCGCACCAAATGATTAGGCTGTTTATAAGATGAACATTTCAACATTAATCTGGCCTACTACATGCTGAAATATATAGCGTTTGTAGGATAAACAGAAGATTATACTGCTTTAAACTTGGTCACAAATGGCTCTTCCAAACAGATCATGAGCCTAAGCACACTGCCAAAATCGGTTCAATTGTGCTTTAAGGTAACAGAGTGAATGTTTAGGAGTGGCCATCACAAAGCCCTGATCTCATCTCTATAGACAATGTGTGGGCAGAGCTGAAAAAGCTTGTGCCTACAAATCTGACTCGGTTACACCAATTCTGTCAGGAGGAATGGGCCAAAATTGGCGACAAACATTAAAAATGCCACTGAATAATTCTTGGTTTTGAATCTCCTAAGAATGTAATCTAAAGCTTTACTGAGTATTTATTTACTGAGTGTGAATTATGACCTTCTGAATAACATTATTAACTAGATTAACGCATCACAAAATTAAAAACGGCGAACTCGAAGTGCAAACTTCATCACTGAACTGAATAATTCTTCAAAAATAATACTACATCTAGTAATGAAACCGTTTTTATGAGGGATTATTGAATCATTAATTGAAATTGGTTGCTGTTTTATTTGATTCATTGTGATTATTCAACACATGATCATGATAAGATATGGTTTATCTGAGTTCTTATTATAATTATTCTGATATTAAAGTATGTTATCTCTGCTTATTAGGATGCTATTATGAAGTGTGTGCATGCTTTATTCTGTGTGAGACTCCTAATTTTACAGAAGGATTTGTTTTAAACACTCAACTGAAACTGAGTGAATAAAAGCGTCATTATATGTAGTATTTTTGCACATGTTTTCTGGTTTATCATTAGTAATGTTTACTACAAAAGGCTGTAGTTCATCTGTCAGTATTGCAGAAGGATTATTTGTGATTTGATAATCGCATGATGATTTTGCATGCAATATTGAGCGTAGTTTGTCACAGAACACAATCATTATGGCTGTGTGTAGTAAACGCGGCTCTAGTTGAAAACACATGCTGGAGATTCACCGCTGATTATGCAAACGAGTTTATAGACTAATGCACACAACAATCACATGAGATTTATCTCTCAGCCCTAATTCAAAGTCATTTGTGTTTGTTTTGTGGTGTAGACTGGAGAACTGCCCAACTCTTTCAGACTCATCAGTGTGGTCAGTCACATCGGCAGCAGCTCCTCTTCAGGTACGGTGAATTTATTTATTTGATTTGCTTCGTGTTATTATAATGCAGATTGAGGACAGTCTGTTTAATTGGCTGCTGTTTCTCTCATTCCTCCTGTATCACTCCAAGCAAATCCGTGTTTGATCAAACTTTATGGTTTTTATCATTCCAGTTAGTTACAAACAATCAAATAACACAGAAGTGCTGGGAGAACAGCGCATAGTTCAGATATAAACACTGATGTTTATGGTCAAGACAACAATTACGGTTTAATGCGTCCTGACACTGTTGAAAGTGTTAGCTGTTCTGTGGATTAACCAGTAGGTGGCGACAAACAACCATCAAAAATGTGCCACTGAATAATTCTTCAAAAATAAAACTACTTCTAGTAATGAAACCATGTTTATAAAGGAGTTTGTGAATCAGTTGAAATCAGCTGCTGTTGCTCTGCTTCCTCCTGTAGGACACTACATCAGCGACGTCTACGACATGAAGAAACAGTCCTGGTTGACATATAACGATCTGGACGTGTCGCGCACGCAGGAGTCCACAGTCCAGAGAGATCGAGACCGCAGCGGATACATCTTTTTCTACATGCACAAGTGAGTCTGCTCTTCAGTCATGCTTGTGTCAATCATTAAGTGTGTATGCATACATTTGAATGTGGTCTGCGTAAAGGTCCCCCTATTTTTTGACTTGTACCACGCTTTGTAACTAAATTGTATTTTTATCTACTGTGCTGCTTTTCTGTTATCACCCTTGTATGTTCATTATTATGCAAATTGCAAAATGAATGAATGAAATCTCCCTGCGCAAAGGATCATGAAGTGTCCAGGTTCTCAGAAGTTAACTTAATTAATGTAATGCATTCATTTCCATTAAAACGCAAGGTGACTAGTTACTTTTTGGGGGCATAACTGAATAATGTAATGCATTAGTTTCAAAAGTAATTGCCCAAAAATATGCAGTAAATCTGCAGCAACTAAAAAAAAAAAAGTATGCAATATTTGCTTGAATTTGTTTTATTTTTCTCTGTTATTCTACAGCAGAGATGCTCAAACAAGTTCCTGTGGGCCAGAGCTGACCCATGATACCCTTTGATTTGGCCAATCATCCCCTCTGAAAGGAGAGTAAAAATAAAGGGGATTTAATTACCTTTAATAGAGATTGTCTTTTCTAATTTAACGTAACCTTTAATTAGTTTGTTTAATTGCTGAGCTCCAAAAAAAGCAAGCTTGAATTAAAGTTTTCAATTAGATGTTGTGAATGGATCAGATTCATTTGCATATGCATTAAACTCCATGGTGTTCTAAATGGGATTGTTTCTTTTCATTGTAATTTAATTATGAAAAGTACAAAATTATAATGCAATAGTTAATCTAAAATGATTAAAGTAATGCTTTCTATTTATTTAAAATTAGGAAAGTTCCCATGGCTACTCTGTAGGACAGTTTGCTATATTTACCTTCAACCCACAGCCCTCAACACTGTTTACATTAAAGAGTAAGCTTCTTACAGTAACGCCCCATTCACACGGGGCTTCAGCGTCAACACTTGACTGAAGGCGTGTCTGAAGTTGAGGCTGAAGCGATCGTCATGGCAGCGTCAGCCAATGAAATTCAGTCAGCAAAAGGCCACTGTCTAGCTGGTGTATTTGCATACAGCGATCTGATTGGCTGACGCTTCCTTCAGTGCTTAAAGTTGAGCTAGTCCCAACTTCTGCAGCGAGCAACGCCTCTGAAGCGGCGCAGACGGATCCAAGTTCGACAACGCCTGATGTCACTCATTCAAAGTGAATGGAAAGCGTTGACGCTGACGCCCCGTGTGAATGGGACGTTACAAATGTCATGTGGCCCATTTCCACTGAGTGGTACGGCAGTTTGGTACGCCAACAGTCCTGGATGACTTATAATGATCTGGGCGTGTCTCGCTAAGAAAGTTTGGGCACCGCTGTTCAAGAGGGTCTGCCTGATATTAATTCAGCTTTACAAAACTGCTGCTTGTGCTGCAAACTGGTATTTGGTAAAGTGTTTGATCTGATGATTGTGTGTGTGTGTGCGCGCGTGCGTGCGTGTGTGTTCAGAGATGTGTTCGAGGAGCTGTCGGAGCTGGAGAAGGCCGGAGTGAACACAGATGGAGGTCGGACGGTGCTACAGCCGCTATAAAATTCTCTCCATGTGGATCCTGAACTGAGCCGAGGGTAAACGCACACCCTCATCAGTGCTACTGAAGAACACACACACACACACACTTCTGCTTCAGGCACTTTCCTCTTCTGTTTCCCCCCGTGAAGAACTGTAGACCCGCAGATATAGATGTTTCTAGAGACTCCTAAAGGTACGAACTGTTTCTGGGGGAAGCGATGGGAAATAAATAACAGAAATATGATGAGTTTGGGTTAAAGATTTGTCCTTCGGGCTTTAATATGATGAAGTCCACTTTTTTTGGTAAACTTTTATGCATTAAGAAATATTTGATGAGTTTGTTCCTGTTTTTTCTGTTTGTTTCTCTCTTTCCAGTCCACAGATTTTAGATTTTTCCTTTCTAATCTATTGCATATAAAGGTTTATTCTTGTATATGTGGTTTGGGAGGGCGTCTGGTTTCCTGTTTGATATGCAGCTGAACATGTGGTGCAATATTTTTGCTTTTATATCTATCTATGATCTATAGCGATGACGAGAGGCTAGTGCTGGTTTATATATCCGAGGCTTTACTGATGACTCCATCACTTTATTTTACTCTTATTTTATAACAAGCGCTCTCAGTGGTATGGATGTAGCTTGTCTTTGAGGATTGTTGAACACCGACAGCCCTGCTTTCGTTTTCCTTCAGTGTGTGTATCTGGAGCTGCAGCCGTTGTGTGAAGCGTCAGCCGCTGTTATTTATTTCAGTCTACTGTACGGTGTTCTGGTTTTCGTTGTCTTCACTCTCTTTATGTGTGTGTGTGTGTTTTCCGTTCTGCTCATCGCGTCTCTTGATTGGACGAGTGTGTGTGTGTGTGTATGGTGTTTCCGGAACAGTGCTATAAGCTCTACCCAACTGCTTAGTATTCAGTCTTTGACTTCCTTACACACGTTTTAAAATAAACTTTATTTAGAAAACAGAAAACTCCGGCATGTTTTGTGGTTTTGATTCATCAGTAGTGCATCTCCGCAGCAAATGTCCCGCATTTATGCTCTGTGTGTGCATCATCTTTTGGTGAGCGGCTCCAGATGACTGCCTGTTAGCCTGTTGAACTCGCTGAGAATGTAGCTCTCCTTCTGCTGCATCTGCGGGAAACAGAGAACTGCAGGAGTTATTGGAGAAATCTGATAATATTGCAATATTTAATTTGTCTGCGTTAATTATTGTGATATGAATACACTTTGAATAGCTGTGTAGGGAGCCTAACCAATATTCAAGTAGGGAAGCTGAAATGCAATGCAGAAAATGCTTTGCACTAAATACAATTCACTAGCTCATGATCAACTATAATCGACTATTGTGAAGAAAAACTCGATTTTTTGGATACACTGTGTAAATTCTTCATCTTCATTTTCTTGTCGGCTTAGTCCCTTTATTAATCCGGGGTCGCCACAGCGGAATGAACCACCAACTTATCCAGTGAGTTTTTACACAGCGGATGCCCTTCCAGCTGCAACCCATCTCTGGGAAACATCCACACACACACTACGGACAATTTAGCCTACCCAATTCACCTGTACCACATGTGTTTGGACTGTGGGGGAAACCGAAGCAACCCACGCGAACGCAGGGAGAACATGCAAACTCCACACAAAAACGCCAACTGAGCCGAGGATCGAACCAGCGACCTTCTTGCTGTGAGGCGAACGTGCTACCCACTGCGCCACTGCCTCGCCTGTGTAAATTCTGTATAAATAAATGCAATGAATCGTCACCTCCAGCCATAAAGGTGACCCGTACTGCAACACACCATACCCCTCAGTGTAAACGAGGCATTTGTGGTATATAATATCAGAAAATAAAGATTCTAAGCTTTCATGTGCTACCATGTGTAGAGATACTGGCCCACCAAAACCTAAAAAATATCTAAGGTAACCCAATATGTAGAATACCTCCTGCTGTCTCTAGAGCAGGGCTGGGCAAACTCGGTCCTGGAGGTCCGGTGTCCTGCACAGTTTATCTCTGTCTCTAATCAAAAACACCTGCTTATAGATTTCCAGTGATCTTGAAGACTCTAATTAGCATGTGCAGGTGTGTTTGATTGGTGTTGGAGCTGAACTGTGCAGGACACCGGCCCTCCAGGACTGAGTTTGCCCACCCCTGATCTAGAGTGTGTGTTTGAGAATAGCACACAGACGTTCTCTAACTCTCTCCTTTCAGGTTTTGATCCTAATTGTGTTGTTTTAAATGCAAATGAGGTGCTCTTTATCCTCTGGTTTACTTTTCCTGATCTTATTAGTTTCCCACAAGCCTTATGAAATGTATTTACTGTAAAGTGTGTGTGTGTGGGGGGGGTACCTCGTTCCACTCCTCTTCAGTTTCATGTCTGTATCCCAGTAAATGACAGATGCCATGAGCCGTGACCACCTGCAGGACACACACACGTATGTATATCAGCAGGACTGTAAACACTGAACACACTCAGGCCATGTTCACTCTAACTTTAACTTTAAAGCAGGGGTGTCCAAACTCGGTCCTGGAGGGTCAGTGTCCTGGAGAGTTTAGCTCCAACCCTAATCAAACACACCTGAACCAGCTGATCAAGCTCTTACTAGGTATACTAGAAACCTCCATGCAGATGTGTTGAAGCGAGTTGGAGATAAAGTCAGCAGGACACCGAGCCTCCAGGACAGAGTTTGGACACCCCTGGTTCAAAGCATATTTTTCCTCTCCATTTAGTCCTTCCGTCTACACTGAGATTCGAGTTTAGGAAACTAAAATGCATCTTTTTGAAAACACTGTCCAAAGAGGATAAATGTGGAAAATGATTTTAGTCATGTGACCAATCCAGCTAACATGCTGGAGAACACTGTTGCATTAAAATGCATTAACGAGCAGTGGGACAGGTGTACCTAATAAAGTGGCCGGTGAGTGCACACATGTTTACTTTGCACACTTTAATCCTCATTTGATTTTATGAATGTCAAATCTCATCTATTTGATTTAACTGCTTGGCCTAATCCAGGGGTGTCTGTCTCAGTCCTGGAGGGCTGCTGTCCTACATAGTTCTTCCTTCACACACCTCCCTGCAAGTGTCTAGTATACCTGATAAGAGCTTGATTAGATAGTTCAGGTGTGTTTAATTGGAGTTAGAACTAAAATATGCAGGACACCGGCCCTCAAGAACCAAGTCTGGACATATCTGGCCTGAACTATATTCATTCTGTGATGTGCACATGTGCTGTCATCATTACCGTCAGCGTCTGGTGCAGATCCTGCTTGGTCTCTTTACACTGCTGCATCACGTACTCCACCCCTAAGAAGATGTCCCCTAGGTTGTACTCATCCCTCTGTAGGGCACACGGCACTTTTCCCGGCCTCAGGTCCTTCACAATGACACAAACACAAGTCATTACTGTGCTCCGGTTAGTAATGGATTATAGGGATGACCAATATAGACACTACATTCACAAAATATATCACAAGATTAATTGCTATGGTTGTTACCATAGCAACTGTAGAATCACCACAGCAGATTAATTGCAACAGTTGTCATGTTACTGTAGCAACAGTAGAATCACCACAGGATTACTATTGTTGTTACCATGGCAACTGTAGAATGACCACGAGATCAATTACTATAGTTGTTGTGTTGCCATAGCAACTGTAGAATCACCACAACAGATTAATTACAATAGTTGTTACCATAGCAACTGTAGAATCACCACAGCAGATCAATCACTATAGTTGTTACCGTAGCAACTGTAGAATCACCACAACATATTAATTACTATAGTTGTTGTGTTATCACAGCAACTGTAGAATCACCACAATAAATTAATCACTATAGTTGTTGTTACCATAGCGACTGTAGAATCACCACAACAGATCAATTCCTCTAATGTATAAGCACTACAGTATCGTTTATTTTATATTATGTTTAAGTGTAACCACTGAGGCTGTTCTTGCTCCAGTCTGACAGCCGCGGTGTGTACCTCATAGAAGGGGAAGGACAGCACGTCTGTGGGCTGATTCCTCCGCCGGTAAGTGTGGTTGATGCGCTGGATCTTGCGGTTGTCCACGCAGATGATGCCCATGTCGAACTTCTGCACGCCGAAGATGTGTCTGAGGATCTCCACATCCCTGCGGAGCCGCGCGCGCCTCACCGGAACCACATTCTGTAGATTCCGCACAATAACACCCATCACGGACCGCACCACCGGCGGGGGGGAGGCTGACCAACACACCGGCAACACCGTCGAAACATCTAACGTTACAGGGGACACGCGGGGAAACAGCGGTCATTTCCAACACACTCGCATGATCTTCACTTTCACCCTGTTCATTGATTCGGAAAGTGATTCTGCGCATGCGCTTGAGCAAGTGAACTTAAAGGGATACACCCGCGGCCGGAAGTTAACGAGAATTGCTTGAATTGTTTCTTAAATTGTATTTTATTAACGTCAACTCAACCGTCACACTAATGTAAAAACTAATTATACCGAGTATTGTTCATATTATTTGTTACATTACTCATTTAATTAACGTCCTACACCTAACCTCAAACACAACCCGCAAAGTAATGTAAAAAGTAATTATACAGAATATTATTCAATAAATGACCCATTATATAATATTTTATTAATATCTAACCATAAACACAACCATCACATTAATTTAAATATATAAATGATTGTTGTACAGTGTCACAAAATTATGCTGTGAGTATCCGCAGCTGTATCTCTTCTAGACTACACGTCGGGAAACTGTCAAAATAAAAGTCTACTAGTTTTGTTATTTATTTTATTTTAGGTTTGTTTGACAACTGACAGATACATTGCACGTAATATACGTAAAATAATAGAGAAATATACAAGTTATGTGTCAGAATTAGTCAGATTGATATTTTGCATCTGCAGTCCCTGGACTGATGGTAAAATAATCACCCTAAAAATATAAATAATAAATATGCTTCAAATGCGAATTTGCACCATTCCTAAAAAATGAACAGTTCACAAATTTAATTATACGCTACCTAAAACTAGAATCTCACTCAAACATACACACCTGTGAGGGGAAAATGACAAATAAATCACCAGTAATAAAACTAATAGATTAATAAAACCGTTGGACAGTTAATTACCTTAATAGACATTTTACAGTTATTTGTTGAAACACTTTTGATCATCTTTTTTTATTGTTATTATTTCGTATTTATTTCGATTAGATCGTGACGTTGACAGGAAGTTGAACGTAGGAGCTTCCGACAGCGCTTGTGGATTCCTGCTGGAGGTCACTTTGCTTTAAAAGGTAATTCATGCCGACATTCAGCGCACAAACAAACATCTTTTGCTGCTGTTTTAATATTTACACTCTGATGGCGTATTAATGTGGTCGTGAGAGCAGCTATGCTAGTGATTAGCTCGTGTGTTTATGTCTGCGCGACTGAAGCGCTGGTCAGTCGCTTGTCCACTGCTCACATTATGAGTTTAGCCGCTGTACACATCTCTGCTGTACATTTTAGCCTGCTGATGTGTTTTTGGACGTGTTTTTGTGTAATGTGACTCGCTCGTTGATTAGTCCCGACATTCATTAGACATTCGCTTTCAAACCAATTCAATTCTTTGCTCCTGTTATAGTTTCAGCTGTGTCAGACATAAATATGTGCACTTTATGCTGCACAGGGCTTCATTTCTAGATTTAAAATGAATGAGTCATACGAATGAATGAAACAATTCAACCAAATGAAATTATACTATAAAACCAGCACCATAATGCAGAAAAAAACATCCTGCTTATTGCACAACACTCATAATAATTCAAAAATAACTTTTAATGTAAAAGTCGATTAAACTCTGACACCATTTGTGATAAAATATTCAAATCAGCTCTAAACATGTCTAAATATGTTTAGATGGCGAGATGTCATCATTACTAACCGGCAAAAGTGCACTTCATGTTGAATATGAAATATAACTGTTTATCTGTTACGTTTTCTGTTACTCTGACAAATAACCATCTGATCATTTTATCATATTTTAATATTATAATCTGTTGTGTTTTAGGCCTGTTGTTTTGTTCATTTCTGCACTGACAGCTTAACAGAAAGATCAACACTGATCTGCTTCATGATCTCATGCAGTCTCAGTTTATCTGTTATTGCTCTCTATAATTTAAGCCTATAATGCACAATTCTAGCTACACACGACTTATTTTATATATGAGCAATATCACACGAGTAGCAGTGCGATATGGCTCAGATTCGAGAACCAGACAGAACTGTTGTGTATGTATATATATATATATATATATATATATATATATATATATATATATATATATATATATATATATACATCATAATAATATAATATATCATCATATCATAATTTTTTAATTTTAAATAAAAGTTATGCTGACTGAAAAGATAAAAGGTCTATGTACACAATTATGTTTGGCTTAGGTTTTGAGCTTTTACTGCAAACGTCACATCCGTCAGAATTGCTCAGGTGTTTCTGCTAAAGCAGGGCTTCTCAACTGGTTTGGCCATCGACCCACATTTGGCCATGGTCATCAAGCTGCAACCCAAATGTTTAGGAACTATAATACAATTTATGGAATTATAAATAATTTGTATTTATTTGTTAACCTACACAAGTAGTGACAGAAAAATCTTAAGAAAATCACCAAGACTTTCAAATAAACGATATTTTACTGCTGTCATTTAACAAAATGTATCAAATTATAGAAATATTACAGAGTAAAAATGACAAATACTGTAAACGGGTCAGGGTGAGGATAGGTTCAGTTAAAAACGTGTTATCTGCTTTCTAAATGTCGTTTTAATTTAGAAGGTTTTGTGCTCTCTTGTGAGAGCAGCTCGCTACTCATGACACTCTGAGGCTTCAAGTCTTTTTTGCCGTAAATATATGTAAATCCATACTTTACATATTCGGGGTCGTACTTGCTCTTCGACATATTTGTTGCTATAATTAAATATAATTTCACATGTCAAATGGTAGGGTTGTCACGCACACATTTCAAAGTAAAAGTCACAATAAGTTAAAAATGAAACTTTTGTTGTTGTTTTTGACCACACACTCCGCAACCCACTGAAAATGTTCCCACGACCCACCAGTTGAGAAACACTGTGCTTAAGCATTAATACACGGGTGGTTCTGTTGTCTGAAATAAAGCTCATGTGACATTACAACAGCTGTGTGTGTGTGTGTGTGTGTGTGTGTGTGTGTGTGTGTGTGTGTGTGTGTGTGTGTGTGTGTGTGTGTGTGTGTGTGTGTGTGTGTGTGTGTGTGTGTTTTGAGCAGCAGATATGGGTGGAGATCATGGTCACGCTCACGGTAAAACCCCCCTGCCGGACTACAGACAGTGGAAGTGGGAAGGGACGCCGCTGGAGGTCGTGCAGAAGAAACTGGCTGGCAAAGGACTGAGAGACCCCTGGGCTCGGTCAGATCACACACACACACACACACATATATATACACACCACAGCTATATGTGGATCACAAGCAGTAGGTGTAGGGTTGAAAATCTGTATTCATCAGGGGTTGCCACAGCGGAATGAACCCCCAAGTATTACAGCTTATGTTATATGCAGCGGATGCCCTTCCAGCTGCAACCCAGTACTGGGAAGCAACCATGCACACTCATTCTCTCGCACACACTCATACACTACGGCCAATTTAGTTAATCAATTCCCCTGTGGCGCATGTGTTTGGACTGTGGACGAATCCGGAGCACCCGGAGGAAACCCACGCCAACACGGGGAGAACATGCAAACTCCACACAGAAACACCAACTGACCCAGCCGAGACTCAAACCAGAGACCTGAGTGCTGTGAGGCCACAATGCTAACCACTGAGCCACCGTGTCACCTGTTATTATTATTTAAATTATATGCTTCTGCTGTACTGTAGAGCTAATGTACTGCGTGTGCGTGTGTGTGTGTGTGTGTGTGTGTGTGTGTGTGTGTGTGTGTGTGTTTCAGGAATGAAGCATGGAGGTACAAGGGCACCTTCAGCATCCCCATCTCCCTCAAAGACGTGTTCCTGCGCGGCTTTAAGTACGGATTCGCAGCGTTCGTGGTGTCTCTGGCAGTGGAGTACACCTTCTTCCCCCCGGAGAAGAGCAAACACTGAGCGCGCGCACGCGTGTGTGTGAAAGACTGTGTGTTCGCTGCGGGTTTGTTCTTCACACGAGCCGGTCCTGAGCTCCTAATACATTCAGAAAGTCCATTCACCACTGATTCCCTGTCTAGAATAAATGTAAATGATCTGATGAGGCCTCGGTCTGATTGTGTGTTGGATGTTGTAGGGCAAACTTGCAGAGTCATGAATGAGGCACAAACTCCAGCTTTCAGAGTCAGCTTTGTGTTGACAAACCAGTGTATAACAAATACTTGGGTAAGATCGGGTTTAGTGGTTTCACAACACTTGATATGAATGTTCTCTGTTTACACTCCATTTAACCCAGAGTTTGTGATTAACCCTTGGTGTCCATGCAGCTTAAAGAGCAGCTATTTTGCATTATACAAGGTCATACTTTGGTTTTGGGGGTGTCCAACAACAGTGTGATCTGTGTGCAAGGTCAAAAAACACTTTTATTGTCTTATAATATGCGTTTATTTTTACCTGATTATCCCAGCGACTCCCATATGATTCCTTCAGCCATTCAATTGTTCCCAAACCCCTCAGCGCGGAACTAATCTGCTGTAATTGGTTTGATGACCCCGTCTGTTGTGATTGGTTGATTGCATTCAGCGTGACTCAAAAAGGACTCGATGCCCAATGCAGGAATGCAATAAAGCAATGCAGTTAAACACCAGCATATGCTCTACTCTTCACCCTAAGCCCGAGTAATAACAACGTTAATGTTTCTTTAATGTTCTAAAACTCTAATGTTCCCTATGCAAATCTAATTAGATCCACTTATTTGGTAAACAAAGCAAGTCTCTTAAATAATATACATCTGCTAAAAGACAGAGAGTATTTGCCGGCAGTTAGCTCTCTGCAACTCTCACATGGTCGCCCAGTGAAGCTAAGCAGGGCTGCGCCCGGTCAGTACCTGGATGGGAGACATGGGAAAGCTAGGTTGCTGCTGGTGTTAGTGAGTCCAGCAGGGGGCGCTCAACCTGTGGTCTGTGTGGGTCCTAATGCCCCAGTATAGTGACGAAGACTCTGTACTGTCAGTGAGCGCTGTGTTTCGGATGAGACATTTTAATATTAGTCAATAATATTACTGAAATGAATTTTTCCACACATGTACTCAAGTAAAAAAAGAGACTCGATGGCTCTGAAATATATAGATATAGCTCTAAAATATAATCTCACATTGCACACTTTACAATAAGCCTCCATGAGCTAATATATACTAAATGAAGAAAACATTGAACATCATGTGTGCTTTGAATATTTCCTTTCCTTCATCTGTTCATGAAGATGCAAATCTAAGTAAATACGCTGGCCGTGACGCCCTGAGCTGCTCTAGTGACGTCTTCAGGATTTCCTCATCTAATATTGAGTTTCATGCTGATGGATTTGGAAATGTGAGGTTTAGTTTAATGAAGGAATGGGTTCAAATTGCAGCATTAATCTCCTGTCTTTCTGCTATATGAAAATAGTTATTGATTCTTGAACGTATAAGCAGAAGATGAAAGTCATTTCAACACAGTTATAATAATATACTGGTCTTGAATTCTGCATATATTCAATCAGGGTTCAACGCTAAGGATTTTTTCCAATGGCCCGCATATGTGGCTATTTCTTAGCCACGTATTTTAAATAATGTCAAAAATAACGTCTGTGAATCTAGAAATTAAATATTTAAAAAATGTTTAAATGTATTATAAGTGTTATGCAAACAAGAAGAGCAGTATGGAGAATATGCTGGTATTTCACTGCAAAACAAAAGGTGGCTGACTTGCCAATCTGAGGGCAAACTGTGCAAATCGTCGCTCTGTTCATATTGTAAACGTCTGCTACATGATGGTAGAAACATTTTTCTTTTAGCCTCATAATTTGATGTTGCCATCTCTTGGCTGTACTGGATGTTACCAGGTTATGGGAAAAAAATAACAATTTAAAAATAACAACATGGTGTTCATGACTTCACGGAGAAAAAGTCACAAGAAAATGAAACTTTAGTGACAAGGCACCACTGGCCCAACTGAGCCTGTCCTGTCTACTGTCCTGAGTGTCGGGCATGCTGGCCCCGGACCATCGGGCATCCTTACTCTTGAGCCCTGTCAATAGCTCTGTATAAATCTGTTGTTTTACAAAAATATCTTAAATAAAAATAGCTGAAGATTAAATTTACATTTAAGAGAAAAAAGAAAATATAAGGTATAAATTCAGAGAAGTAATTGTATATATTTTGTTATTCGAATGTTTTGCGTAACAGTTTTTTGAAAATAATTAGATTTTTTTGTAGAAATAAATTATAATAATAGTATATTACAAAATTATAATAAAATTGTTTATTCATATTCGTTTACTCAGAAATTTGTGTCATTCACTTAAAACATTTTAGATTGACACATGTAACGTTAAAAACATTTTAAAGCTTATTCCATTAAAATTAAAAGGTCATGTTTGACAAATTAGGAAATAAATGAGTTTAATTTATATAGTAAATGGATGTTAGTTTTTATTATAGTTGTTGTGTTACCATAGCAACTGTAGAATCACCACAACAGATTAATTACTATAGTTGTTACCATAGCAACTGTAAATTAACCAACAGATTATTTACTATAAATGTTGTTACCATAGCAACTGAAGAATCACCACAACAGATTCATTCAAGTACTTGATTATAGAATGGTTCAAAAACGCTACATTATTTACTGTATTTTCCTATTGTATTTTCTCATGTGGGCATTGTCGGATCTAGAAACATTCGACATTTCCCTGCTGAGAGTTTTATTGTGATTTCTCCTGCCAGTAAGAGAGGGCTGAAGGGACTTTACCGCCAACATTAGAGAGTAAAACACCCGACGATCATCATAACACGAGTGTGATTCACAGCTGCTGGACATCTTCACACTTTCTCCAGATAATATAACATAAAGCTGCATATTTATTTATTCAATGCCTAAAGAACAAGACATATTTGGATATTTATACAAATAATTGAACTTCAGCCAGAGAGAAAAAAAATGTTCAGAGCATTACATGTTTTAGGGCTTTTTGTTTTCTACTCCTCCTAAATGGTTCATATATTAGTGAAAGTCATTTATTAAGAAAAAGGGGAGGGGGGGGGGGGTTGATCTACAAACCTCCATTTGTCATTTTTGGTACTCTCAAAAACACGAACAATAGAATAATATGTTATCTTCTACAATTTCAAGTTCTCCATTTTAAAAGAGCACGAGAAATGTTTTTTTATTCAATCTTTTAGTCATGTTTAATTCCATCATGATCTCTGTAGTAGTGGGTAATGGATGACGTAGTGGTACATTCCTCACAGAGGCTACTTCCTCTTTCCTTTTCGTCACCGGTTCTGTTAATTATCTGGCGCTCCTTTCCTCATCAAAATGTACATTTCCTCATTCCGACATTTCTCACGATCCACACAGGAGGTAAGATTTACCCTTTTATCCTTTAACTGCAGGATATTTTATGATAAAACCCGCTCTGCATATTAAACCCATGTACGCGCTCACAATCTCCACACGCCAAACACTACAGACACTAATATAACGTGTATCTGATATGAGTGTATCTACATGTAATGATAATGGTATTAAACTGACTGTCATCTAAATTAAATAAATAAACAAAGCAGAGGATTTTATTGAGATATTGCGGTGTTTTATGAATGATGGCGGTGATGATATCAATTAACCCTTTGGTGGCCATTTTGTTTATGAATGGATTCATTGATAGTTGTGTCATTAACACTGCCCTGTCTGTGTGAAGCTGTTCTTCTTCTGCGTTTACTTTCACCAGGGGTTTATTATTTAAATAACTTTTTCTCTTGTAATAATTAACATGGGCAGCACTGTGGCTCAGTGGTCGCTGGTTCGAAGGTCTCTAATTTGAGTCCCAGTTGGGTCAGTTAATGCGTGGAGTTTGCATGTTCTCCCCGTGTTGGCGTGGGTTTCCTCTGGGTGCTCTGGTTTCTCTCACAGTCCAAACACATGCGCTATAGGGGAACTGATCAACTAAACTGGCCGTAGTTTATGAGTGTGTGTGTATGGGTGTTTCCCAGTACTGGAACTGCGTTTGCTGTGTATAATATATAATGAAATAGTTGGTGGTTCATTCCACTGTGGCGATCTTTGATGTATAAAGGGACTTAGCCGAAGGTAAATTAATTAATGAATTTTAACATGTTTGATTTATGTTCCCCATGTTTTTATTTGTTTATTTATTTATTTATTTACTGAATTGATACAATAATATAATGTTACTGTGGAAATGAGCCTCCATACATTGGACATTTGAAAATTTAATTTATTTAAAAAGGAAATCATTTATTTAAAGAATTGTGTATAATAATAATTTATTCATTCATTCATTCATGTTGTTTTCGGCTCAGTCATCAGGGATCGCCACAGCGGAATGAACCGTCAACTTATCCAGCATATGTTTTACGCAGCGGCTGGCCCTCCAGCTGCAACCCAGTACTGGGAAAAACTCATTCACAAACACACACTCGTACACTACGGCCAATTTAGTTGATAATTTCTTGCTGTGAGGCCACAATGCTAACCACTGAGCCACCGTGTCGCCTACTATTTTTTTTATCATTTTAATTGTATGCTTCTGCTGTCAGGTAGAGCTAATGTACTGACTGTGTGTGTGTGTGTGTGTGTGTGTGTGTGTGTGTGTGTGTGTGTGTGTGTTCTCAGGTCAGCGTTGGTGATGTCGGCTGTGTGTCGCTCCGTCAGTCAGATCTTAGCTGAGCTCAGTGCTGATGAGTGTCGGAGGATCTGCTATCTGTGCGGCGCTCTGGACACACACTCAGAGCTCACACACTCCTCAGAGCTCAGAGTCTGCACACACTCGCTGCTGTGCCGGAGCGAGCGTGTGTTTCTGCTGGAGCTCCTGCTGAGGGTCAAACGCTACGATCTGCTCAGAGGAGTGTTGAAGAGCAGCAGGAGCACGGTGGAGACACTGCTGAAGAACCAGCGCACACTGCCGGAATACAGGTGAGCAGACTAGCAACTGTAGAATCACCACAACAGATCAATTACTGTAGTTGTGTTACCATAGCAACTGTAGAATCACCACAACAGATCAATTACTGTAGCTGTTGTGTTACCATAGCAACTGTAGAATCACCACAACATATTAATTACTGTAGTTGTGTTACCATAGCAACTGTAGAATCACCACAACAGATCAATTACTGTAGTTGTGTTACCATAGCAACTGTAGAATCACCACAACATATCAATTACTGTAGCTGTTGTGTTACCATAGCAACTGTAGAATCACCACAACATATTAATTACTGTAGTTGTGTTACCATAGCAACTGTAGAATCACCACAACAGATCAATTACTGTAGTTGTGTTACCATAGTAACTGTAGAATCACCACAACAGAATAATTACTATAGCTGTTGTGTTACCATAGCAACTGTAGAATCACCACAACAGATTAATTACTGTAGTTGTGTTACCATAGCAACTGTAGAATCACCACAACAGATTAACTACTGTAGCTGTTGTGTTACCATAGCAACTGTAGAATCACCACAACAGATTAATTACTGTAGTTGTTACCATAGCAACTGTAGAATCACCACAACAGAGTAATTACTGTAGTTGTTGTGTTACCATAGCAACTGTAGAATTACCACAACAGATTCATTACTCTAGTTGTTGTGTTACTATAGCATTACTGTAGTTATCTTATCTCTTATGTATCTTATGTTTTCACCTGACAAATTAACCAAATGAATGAAAGTTGACCAAATGATCAATGTTTCTTGTAATTTACTAATGAAAATAGTGAATTTACCATTAATACAGACTCTCCGTTCACTGTGGGCCTCAGATTTTTACAGGCATTCCCCGAGTCAGAAAATGGGTTTTTTTGTTTTGTTTTGATTTTAAGAAATTCATGGCTTAGTCACTGTTTGTTTGTCCAGCTCTTTAGTGAAACGCAGAGATTTTAATCCAATTTTGTGTCTTCAGAGTCCTGATGTGTGATGTTAGTGAGGAGATGGACACGGAGGACCTGAAGTCTCTGATATTCCTGCTGAGAGACACGTTACCAAAACACAAACTGCAGAATGTCCAGGTAACACTGAGCTCTTAAGACTTGTTTGTTTCTATATTTAAAGGGACAGGTCACTCAAAAATGAACATTCACTCGTTATTTACTCTCCTTCAAGTGGTTCCAAACCGGTTTACGTTTCACTAAAGAAGATAATTTGAAGAATGCTGGAAACCTGTAACTATTAATTTCCATTCAAAATATCTTGTCTAGTGTTCAACAGAAGAAAGAAACTCATAAATGATGTCAGAATTGGGTGAACTGTGCCTTTAAGGTTGTACTTAAACAACTGTAACTGCCTGTGTTGTTAAGCTCCACTGATGCTCTGTATGACTGAACAGTGGTTTATTGTTGTATTGTAGAGTTTTCTGGATATCGTGGTGGATCTGGAGAAGCTGGAGCTGATCTCGGGTCAGAAGCTGGAGTTTCTGGAGCAGATCCTGATGTCCATACGCAGAACTGACCTCGCCAACAAGATCAGACGCTTCCAGCAGACCTGTGAGTTTATCAGTCACTATATATACATGTATAAATAAGGTACAGAAGTATATAACCGTACATCCCTCACAGTGCACTTCAGACATTTATTTACTGTCATCATGGCCAAGACAACAGAAATGTGTTATTAGAAATTAGTCATTAAAACTATTATGATTAGAAAATACTGTCAGATAAATAGCAGACGCTTTATTTTATTCTCCAGATCTGTGCTGAACTATCTGCTGCTGCTTTCAGTAGTATGGCAATAAATGTTCTGTGAAACGGCATTCAGACTCACATTATTAGCCTTTAACACTGTATAAAGCACATGAGGTGTAGCTGAGCTGATCATTGTCAGTTTTCTGTTGTTCAGCTGTGAGAAATAGCCGCTTCTAATATATAATTTCAGGTGTTGTTTGGGACAAAATCTCCTTTTAATATGGGAAATATTACTGCTATCGCCTGCCCTTGCTTTTATGTAGACCATGACTTAAATCAGCCTTTAGGCTCAATAGTCGGGCACACTCCTGTTGATGTCGTCAGTCAGGCAACCTACGCTTGCACGTGTTTTAAACCAGGAGTGCAATACCTAGTTCAACCACTGGGTGTGCTGTAAGATACACAAGTAGAGTCACAGCCTACTGGTAATTACACAATAATGTAAATATTAATATATAACACTGTTTTAATGTGTATAGACTGATTTCACACGGCCGACATTTCTAAAAGCGAAATCGAGGCTCCTGTGGGAAGAAACCCGGAAGTATCGTTGGGAGTTACATAGGAACGTTGTGTAGCTGGCTGTATATCTCATCAGCGAAGAGAAAGTGGCACAAATTTATAATTTCACCGCCTTCCGAGCAACCCGAAGGTCTGTTCTGAATGAATGGCGCAAATAAAAAGAGATATCAGAGCTGAAGTTAAGGGAGATGGCACTAGTTAGCTCACGTTTTCCTTCCCCAACACACGTTTTAGATGCCATTTATCAAACTCAAGTTAATGAATTGATTCTTTTACTATATCAGACTTGTCACGATACTGAATTAACAGAAAAAACATCAATTTCCCGCTAACATTTAAGGCACTGTTGATGACTTTCTTAAAACAGCGCTGATTTGCCATTGTGTTCACCAGTGCTCAACAGAAATGACTGTGATTGGCCGAGAAGGTCATCAGTTCACCCTCCACTGTTTACAGAGTACAAACACAGACAAGCGATCTGCTTGATGATTCGACTGATCTTATCAGCAAGAAGGTCGCTGGTTCGAGCCCAAGCTGGGTCAGTTGGTGTTTCTGTGTGGAGTTTGCATGTTCTCCCAGTGTTGGCGTGGGTTTCCTCCGGGTGCTCCGGTTTCCCCCACAGTCCAAACACATGCGCTATAGGAGAACTGATCAACTAAATTGGCCATAGTGGATGAGTGTGCATGGGTGTTTCCCAGTACTGGGTTGCGGCTGGAACAAAAAGAGTTGTAATGACACTCATAATTACAGCAGATTTAGATTGACTTCCACATCTCTGATGTGTGGAGGAGTTATGTGTGACAGACAGACAGTTTTTCTGACTCGGTTCCTCTTTCTGCATCATCGTCGTCTATAATGGGGTGTTCTGGGACTTTCACATGCAGGGTTTCCTCTGGTTTCGTTTCTCTTCTAATAGAAAATTCTTTTACAGCACAAATGACCAAACAAGGCTCCGCTGACAGACCTCAGACCTGCGCAAAACCACAGGTGAGAGCTCAGCCGACTGCTCATCTGTCATTTCTCTGTGATGCTCACTCATGAAGACGGCACTATTGGCCCTCGTGTGAATTTATTTGTTTTTTTCAAATAGTTCACAAGTGAAGTCAGAACATTTTCACAGTATTTCCTCTAATATTTGTTCTTCTGAAGAAAGTCTTACTGGTTTTATTTGGGCTAGAATAAAAGCAGTTTTAATTGGTTTATAGTCATGTTAAGCTCAATATTATTCACCCCTTCAGCAATATTAGTGTTGGATTTTACTCCAGAACAAACCACTGTTATACAATGACTTGCCTAATTACCCTAACTTTACCCTAATTACCCTAGTGAAGCCTTTACATGTCACTTTAAGCTGTATAGAAGTGTCTTGAAGAATATCTAGTCTAATATTATTTACTGTCATCATGAAGAAGAGAAAATAAATCAGATATTAGAGACTATTATGTGCAGAAATGTGTTGAAGATAAATGTCTCTGTTAAACAAAAACTATCTAGATATTAAAGTTTGAAGACAAACTTTATAGTAGCTTGAGCTAGCCATGTTATTAGCATGTTTTAAGTATTACTTAACATGTTTTTAGCATGAAATAGCATGTCACTAGTATTGTTTCAGCATGTCTAGTATAAACTAGCATGATTCTAGCATGAATTTGCATGCTGGTAGCAGGAATTAGATTGTTATTAAAATGTTTCTAGTTTGAATTAGCATGTTGCTAGCTTGATTGAGGCATACATTATATTATTAGAATGCTTCAAGTATAAATTAGCATGGTGCTAGCAAGAATTAGCATCTTGTTATACTGAAATTGTTACTAATAGTGTTACCGTTACAGATACTGATATCGTTATAGACACTGATACTGTTACAATACTGATACAGTTACTGACACTGATACCAATACTGATACCATTACAATACTCTTACCGTTACTGACACTGATACTGTTACCACTACTGATACTATTACAGTACTGATAGTGTTACAGAGACCCATTACTAACAGTTACCGATACTGATACTGTTAAAATACTGATACTGTTACCAATACTGGTAACATTACAGATACCGTTACCGATACTGATTCTGTTATAATACTGATACCGACACTCATACCGCTACTGATACCATTAACGACACTGTTACCGATACTGATACCGTTTCTGACACTGAATTACAGATACTTATAACGTTAAAAATACTGATACCGTTACAGACACGAATACCGTTACCAATAATGGTACTGTTACCGATACTAAAACCGTTTTTGACACTGATACTGTTACCAATACTGTTACAGATAGTATTACAGACACTGTTACTGTTACAGATGCTAATATAGATACCTTTACAGATTTTTATACTGTTACGAACGGATACCGTTACCAATACTGATACGGTTACAGACACTAATACCGGTACTGATACAGTTACCGACACTGATACCATTATCGATATTGATAACGTACAGATACCTTTACAGAGACTGATACGTTACAATACTAATATCATTACTGACACTGATACCACTACTGATACTAATACATACACCATCACAGATACTAATACTGTTACGAACGGATACCGTTACCAATACTGATACCGTTATAGACACTGATACCGATACTGACACCATTACTGGCACTGATACCATTACCGAGACTGATAACGCTACAGATACTAACACCTTTACTGACACTGATACTGTAACCAACACTGCTACTGTTAAAGTTACCATTACCAATACGGTTACAGACACTAATACCGGTACTGAGACAGTTACAGACACTGATACCATTACCGATATTGATAACGTACAGATACCTTTACAGAGACTGATACGTTACAATACTAATACCATTACTGACACTGATACCACTACTGATAGTAATACATACACCATCACAGATACTAATATTGTTACGATACTGATACCGTTACCAATACTGATACCGTTATAGACACTGATACTGCTACTGATATTGTTACAGACAATATTAATGATACAGATACCATTACTGACACCGATACTGATACCGATACTCATAACAATACAGATGTTGGTCAATTTTGAACAGTAGTATTCAATACAAGCTATATTTCCGCAATAAATTTATTCTACTAATCATGAGTCTATTAAACAATCATCAAAAAAAATCTGATATGAAAATCTCCAAAGCAGATCCATTGGCAGATCATTGCGCTTGTTTTAAGGAAAATCTCCATTCATTTAGTCTCATTATTTCTGAAAACAAGACAATATTATTTGCTTGTCTGCAAAATGCTTCTTAATTTACCAATGTGTAAAAATTTGGACTAGAAACAAGAGAAAAGGACATTAATAAGGACATGAGTAGTTAATAACAAGCACAGTTTTAGATGCAAAGCAGCAGTACAGCAGAAGTACTCATATCATATAGACAGTGTCCAGTGGCAGTGTGTTGTGTGCAGACTGCAGATACAGTGAGGTGGTGAAAGTGTGTGTCAGATGGTTATCAGTGTGTTTAAAGCTGATCTGATGTCTGAACAGGAGCAGGCGTGCAGTGTTCACAGAGAACCCAGAGGAGTGTGCTTAATCCTGGACTGCATCGCCACTGAAGCAGGTCAGAAAAGCGCAACCTACATCTACTCTACTGCTCTTATCAACACATCTCTTCTGCTCTGTATATAAATCACTTCTATATGGAGTTTAAGCACAGTAGTGTGTCAGCAGTGTGTGAATATCTCCAGCCTCTAATGATAAACATGCATGAATTGTATTTGTTCTACTCAGACTTGATCAAATCAGTCTGCAGAAACACTTTGATCGACATTCTCCCTTTGTACGTGTCATCAGAGATGGGAAGCGAATAAGACTTTCTCCAGAAGAAAGAATATTATGGGAAATACTGTGAACAATTCCTCACTCCTGCACTCTGTAATGATGAATGTGTTTGTGTGTTTTCAGACAGGCTGATCTGCAGTAAAGCGCAGTAAACCAGCACAACCGTCAGTCTGCAGGATCTCAGTACTCTCTGATCCTGAGGAAGAAGCTTTATTTGGGCTGATCTTCACCCACAGACTCACCTTTACCAGCAGATTACCCCGTTTATATATATATATATACATACATACATACATGCATACAATTGAAGTCAGAATATTCGCCCCCCTTTGATTTGTTTTTTCTTTTTTAAATATTTCCCAAATGATGTTGAACAGATTGAGGAAATGTTCACAGTATGTCTGATAATATTTGTTCTTCTGGAGAAAGTCTTATTTGTTTTATTTCGGGAAAAGATAAACTACAGTTACAATATTATTATGATAATATACGAAAGCCACTGTAAGAACATAAACAAAAACACTTTAATCAGTAGATGATCACGAGTGAGAGTTCAGGGATAATTAAACCGCTGTAAATATCTTCAGTTTACAGTTACCATATCAGGCGTTAAGTGTTAAACTGAAGGCAGCTGATTGTGATCACCTGATCCTTGTGTGTTTTTGTTCTCATCATAATGGTGTCGGTATCAATTGTATCAATTCTGATGCTCCCGAGGCTTTGTGTCTGTAGTGTGCAGCGTTGTCCACATGTGGGCAGTGTTGTGCAGCACTGTCTGTCTGTCAACTGCTGAACTGACTGTCCTTATTTCAATTATTTTTAATATTTTAATTCAAGATTTGAAGAGTGCTGCTGTTTATTGTATTCTCATTCAATACGAATGTATTGTTTATTGTTATTTTGCAAATGTTTTGTGCATACATTACAGTTTACATCCGTTACCGGAATATAAACCCAATTTATGAGTTGTGCAAGAATAATGTGACTGTAAATCAGATTGTAATAGAGTGCATATTTTAATATGATATTACAGAACAATTTAAGAGGACAGAATATTTATATTTCAATATTTATCTCTGAATAAATGACAAATATGATCATCTATTATTGTTGTCGTCTGTATTTTTGTGGTTATTTGTGTGATGCATGTTCATTAATAAACTGTGATGTTTGTAAATGATGTATTGCATATTTATTACAAACACTGCTGATATAATGCATTAACACATACACAAATAAACACAGTTTGAGTAATCAATAGCTTGATAATGAATAAACTCCTGCTTTAAAAGTGTTATTATAGACGTTTTAGACATCAACATGGTTTCTAATGACACCTTCTATAAAGTAAATGAGCCTCAAGTTGTCAGTCAGTGATGCTGCAGGTAAAGGAGGGTTAATATACATTGTGTACAGTAGAAGAACAATGTTTATGGATAGTCCATGTTCACCGATTTCAAGGTGTGTGTTCATATATATATATATATATATATATATATATATATATATATATATATATATATATATATATATATATATATATATATATATATATATATATATATACATATGAGTGTGTGTTATTGCGCGCGCGCGTGTGGTATGTGTGTGTGTGCTATTGCGCGCGCGCGTGTGTGTAGGTGAGTCAGGAATCAGGATCTCTGCAGTGGCGCTGGTGTCTCGCTCAGGATCGGAGTTACCGCGAGTTTCTCTTTGTTTCTCGGAGAATCAGACGGAAATCTGCCGGCATGAGTCCGGCTTGAAGAAGGGAAGGGTGTGGTGTGGTGTGGACCCGCACCAGCGCGCGTCTCCGGCGGTCTGTATGCGCGCGCCCCGCCGCTCCGCTCCGCACATCTGCCCGCGGTGAGAGACGCGACGCCCCGAGCCGCAGCAGCAGCAGCATGGCCGAGCGCGGATCCGGAGTGCTGATGATGCTGCTGGAGCCCCCGGCCCTCGCCATGACCCTGCCGGCGGAGGTGCGCGAGAGGCTGGCGGAGCTGGAGCTGGAGCTGTCCGAGGGTGAGTGTCGGAGCTCCGGCCTGCACTGGAGCGGCGACCGGGGATTATTATGGGTTGCTGATATGGCATATGCCTCTGTATGCGCTGTGTTTGTCATGCTGAAGATGGGGTTTAACCCTATAGAGCCTTCTGGGGTTGAATTAAAGTTGGTTTTATATTCGAGCATTCGCTCATTTCTGAGCAGTGACAACTCATGGCACACTCCCTATATGTGAATACTGGCTCTGAAATAGCATGTAGATACGACTTCATAACAACACGAGCTCTGTTTAATTGACTGGGAACAGTTCTGGGCTGCTTGGCTAATATGATTTCACTGTATTTAGAATTGGAGAATCATATTTTCTGATATTATATTGTGAAGGAGAGAGTCCAGATGAGTGAATATCAAAGCTACTTGACCTCAGTGTGTGTCTGCTGATGATGGTGATGGTGTTTAACCCTGTAAAGCCTGCTGGGATTTATTATTGAAAGCTTTCGCACACAATTCACTGCACTGCAAAAAATACTTTTCTATTTTTTTGTCTAGCCGAGATGTCGTAAAACTCTTAAATTAAGAAGCATTTTCTAGACAAGCAATAAATAGTGTCTTGTTTAAAGTTTTTACTTAACCCCTCCTCCAAAATAATCAGCCAATGGGGTAAGCAGAATAATCTTATGTCAGAGCTAAAGCTGGATTATTTTGCTTCCTCCATTAGCAGATCATTTAGCTTGATTTAAAGTAAAAACTCACTTAATTAAAACAATATTCTTTGCTTGTCTAGAAAATGCTTCTTGATTTAGGTGTTTTTTGATATTTGGACTAGAAACAAGACATAAACCAAGTGAGAAAAGCAGCAGTTGTACAAATTCATGAAGTTTATAACTTGAAATTAAATGTTTCAGCCCTTTTCCTTGACAATTATTGTTACTATTTGAGTTATGAAAGCCGTAATGCATCAATAAATGCTAATAATTGTAGAGAAAGTTAATGACTTAGTTTCTAGCGTCTGACTTTTGCTTGAACTGTTTATTTTCTGATGATGGTGTCAGGCTTGATAGGGTTAATGCAGGTTTATTGCTGTGTCAGCACTGCGTCTGTTCACTAGTCACTGCCACTGAAAGCAATTAGCGGCTAATAAAATGATGCACTGCAAAGAAGTGCAGAGGCGCTGTCTCGTTTCTATCGCAGATATCTACAAATTCTTAAATCAAGAAGTATTTTCTAGACAAACACAAAATATTGTCTTGTTTTCAGAAATAAAAAGTAGAAATGAAGTGAGTTTTTTACTATAAAATAATGTTCGTTTTGGTTTGAAATAAGATTACTCCAACACAGGCTCAATCTGAAAATGTAGCCTTATATAGGTTTCTGGAGATCTCGAATTATGTAGCCAGAAGTATGCATAGCTGCATTTTTTCGTTAAAACGAACAATACTTGGCGGCATGACATCGTTCCTTTTCACACCAGCTGACCGCTTACCTGCATGTGGATGGCTTTTCTACTGTTACCAGTTTGCTCAGTAGCTCGCCATGTACGTTGAGACTTGAGACGGTTGGAGTCTAAACGGTTCCAGAAAGCAGGAAAGACAAAAGCAAAAGCCAAAAAATTAAATAGGCAAGTAAATAGCAGGTTGAGAACGTGGTAAAATCTGAAAACGTGGTAAAAAATCAGACGAGGGCTTTTCTTTTTCTGGATTGCTTTTGAAAACACTATTGGTTGGGTTTAGGAAAGGAGGAGGGTGGGTCAATCGGTGCTTTTCACAATTCATATGGTTAGGTTTAGGGAAAGAGTGTTTAGCAGGAGGGTGGGTCAGTCGATTGGTCAGTCAGTCAGCCGACAGCGGCCTCTGGTGGATGTACATGAGAACAGCAGGCGTGAATGGCACTTGCAAGAGAAATTTGAGATGTGAATAGTATACACTTCGGCCTCTCAAACAAAACCTGCAAAAGCTCCTGGGATGTATTTGATGCTCTTCAGAAATGAATATAGGGTGTGTTTTCAGAATGAGCCTGGGTTGGATTGTTTTGCTCTCCCCGCTGTCAGATTATTCTGCTGGTTTACAGGAGAAACTCGCCTAATTTTGATTCACCATTTCTGAAAACAAACGCTATTTTGTCCATGAAAAGCTTCTGGATGTAGGAATGTTTGTGTATTTGTGGCAGAAACTGAAAGTGAAGGCATGTTCTGCAGTGTGATGTGCTGGTTTGGTTGGTTTAGTCCTGCTGTTGGCAGCTTCATCCTCATGCTCAGATGTTCAGGAGTTTTAGATGAACACACACTCATGATTTATGACTGTAGAGATCTGGATTTTTCTCTCTGCTGTGTGTGTGTGTGTGTGTGTGTGTGTGTGTGTGTGTGTGTGTGTGTGTGTGTGTGTGTGTTATCTCTGGATGTGGAAATTTCTGATGAGATCTAGTGTGTTTTGCATGCAGTGTTTGGTGTGTGAGGTTTGCAAGTCTTCCTGAAGCGATAGGAGCACTGATACACCTGTAGGTTCTCATGTAAAGTGATTTATCCGTGAACTGTGGCTACAGATCCAGGGCCTCTGTTTTTATTTTTATTTTACTTCAATTTTAACATTATTGTAGTATGAAGCAATACTATAGTGCTTTGTTCTGATCACCAGCGATCTCGTGGGTACAGAGTGTTGGAGAACCACAATTCTGCCATGATTAACCAACTTCAACTCCTCGTACCTTGCACACACCGGTTCCTCATTCCCCCTGATTACACACACAGCCAGTAACCCATCATCAGGCTGAGCCTTGTTTTACCTGAAGCATCACAAAGTGGTTTCCTTGTTGTGTTTTCCTGGCCGTGTTTCCAGACCCTCGCTCTGTTCACTGATTTTTGCTGTTAGCCATCTGAACCGATCTCTTGCCTGCCTTTGACTACTCTTTTGGATTGATATTTATGATTATGTTTACTCCTGTGATTGACCCCCGCTTGCGTGACTATTCTCTGGCCATGGTAACACAACAGCTACAGTAATTGATATGTTGTGGCAATTCTAAAGTTGCTATGGAAACAGCAACTATAGTAATGAATCTGTTGTAGTGATTCTAAAGTTGCTATGATAACACAACAACTGTAGTAATTAATCTATTGTGGCGATTCTACAGTTGCTATGGCAACGCAATGACAGTAATCAATCTGTTGTGGTGATTCTGCAGTTGCTATGGTAACACAACAACTGTAGTAATTAATCTGTTGTGGCGATTCTACAGTTGCTATGGTAACACAATGACGGTAATTAATCTGTGGTGATTCTACAGTTGCTATGGTAACACAATGACGGTAATTAATCTGTGGTGATTCTACAGTTGCTATGGTAACACAATGACGGTAATTAATCTGTGGTGATTCTACAGTTGCTATGGTAACACAACAACTATAGTGATTAATCTGTTGTGGCGATTCTACAGTTGCTATGGCAACACAACAACGACGGTAATAAATCTGTTGTGGTGATTACAGTTGCTATGGTAACATAACAATGACAGTAATTAAACAAATGAGCCTTTACTGTAGTTTTCTACAGCTATAGGGTATGTTACACTACTTTTTACTGTAGTAAAAAATAAAGTATACCACAGTATTTATATCAGTTCACTATAGTTTTATTGTGTATATGTTTATGTCTGAGTGCGAGTGTGTGTTTATATGAGTGTGCGTATGTATTGAATGTTTGTTAGCGTGTGTATATGAGTGAGCTAGTGCGTATAAGCGTTTAATAGTGTGTATGTGTGTGTGTTATTGTGTGTGCATATGAGTATGTGTGTGTGTGTGTGTGTGTGTGTGTGTGTTAGTTTGTGTATACGAGTGTGAGTTGTTTCCTCCTCTCTGAGTGAATGAGAGTGTAACACTGTGATCTGATGGAGTTGTCAGAGTCGGCCGTCTGCAGTTTCTTCATCTGGATGTCTGTTTAAACCTGCGCTCTGGTCATTAAAGATCATTAATTGACTGTCATTTATTATAATGATGAGTTCTGCTGAGTCAGCGGCTCTATTGTGGAGGATTATGTGTGGAATAAAGCATACAGACGGCCTGAGTATGTCCCTGTGAAGGACAAATATACACTTCCAGTTAAGGACCAGCTCTCACGGTGATCAATATCACACCGCTTTTAGAGGGTTTTGCATCTGAACTCTTCATATATAAAGCAGTAACTCGGGTCTGAAAGGTGCAGAGCTGAAGCTGAAGTGTCCTACATACACACTTTTGCTCATGTTTGCTGAAGACCCAGTTTCTCCAGCGGCGGAGGGAAGTTTCTCTGCTGCAGTCTTTAAATGGAGTCAGAATGAGTCTAAAATAGCAGCAGCTCATCCTGTCAGGACAGAATTACACAGAACTACACACACACACACGCATGATTATCTTTAATATTCACTTTTATAATAATATAATGCAAGTGAACAACACAAATAAACACAGCAGGGCTGCAGTCCGCTTCCTGTTTGCGTATGCAGAACTTCCTGTCCTGCCATTGTTTTCCTGACATCATCAGGTTTGTTTCATTGTGCATTTAAAGACACAGTGCATCATTTAGGCACACGGTGGGCGTGTATCCACAACAAACAAAGGTGTAGTGTTTTTATGTGAAATTTATGGGTCCGTTTGAATTTCTGGAACGAATGACACAGTGTGTAGTTTTCTCCACTAGAGGGTGTGTATTCACAACTAGCAAAGGTGTCATTTTTTAACTCAAAATTTCATCCATTCATTCATTTTCCTTCAGTTTAATCCTTCTCTAGAAATTTTTAGAGTTGAGTTACATTGCACTTTCATTTGTGTTGACATTGGAAGGTTGTATCTCTGTCTTTCTGACTGATTTCCATAAACATCTTTGCTTTGCCCACATTAAAAAGTACCTTAGTAATTTATAGTAAATACTAAACTGTTTACAGTAAAGTCTGTTTTACTGTATATATATTATAGTGTTCACAACCCATTACCAATTGCTCCAGGATACTGTAGTATTAACTATAGTGAACTGATATACTGTAATAAATACTG